AGATATGACAGCACCGTGACATATGCCTAACTGGCTTGTACCAGTCCGACATTATTTTAGTGCGAGCCAACTGAAATACCATGCTACAGTTTAACATTGATACCTCACACAGTATACTGACTCCGAGCCAACCAGTCCTTGTTTTATCCCCTTAATTCCGAGCGCCAGGTAGGGTAACAACAAGTACCATCTTTTAACGTCTTTTGGTATGACGCGGCCGGGGATCCAACCCCGGACCTTCCTCTCTCCGGGTGGAGGCTCTACCACTAGACCACAGTGACAGTTCTGTTGAAGCGATTGTAATTAATATTGGAATTCAATCCAAGTAGGTTTAAAGAGCATTGACACTGTTTTAATTCTGTTCCACTATTCCATGGAAGAGATCTTCTGGATTTGGACTCGAGACTAAAGATGCAGGCTGGTAGTCATACATTTGCTGGGGGGTGGGGTGGGGAGGGGTGGGGTAGCCTAGTAGTCAAAGCATTCGCTTGTCACGCCGAAAACCCAGGTTCAATTGACCACATGGGTACAATGTGTGAAGCCCATTTCTGCTGTCCCCACAGTGATATTGTCTGAATATTGCCAAAAGCGGCATAAAACCATACACACTCACTCACTTACAAATATGTTGGCTGAAAATGACCCAACAAAACTATCAACATTGAAAACGGTAGACCTGTATCCTCAATCCTTGATTTATTTTCTTATTGTATGCCAACAAAATAGGGATTGCTTTTAAGATATTCTGAAAAACAGACCAGGAAACAATGAATTATGTTTGAGATAAGTGATAGTGAAGGAAATGATGAAATCTGTAACAGGCTCTTGTCACGAAAAATGGAATTTATAAGAATGTATAAGTCTAGACTAACATCTAGTCTCTGAAATGAACTTATCGTACAGAAAAAAACAGTTGTTCAGTTATCTCAATAAAAATATAATAAAAAGGAGCCCAGTGACTCTCTTCATTTTCAGAAATACTGATACTGCAGTGATCTAGACTTGCCAAACATTATAGACTTGCATGGGCTGTATTTGATATATATTTGTATCAGGGTCTGTAAGACAGACTATTATAAGTCTTGCATCGTAGAATACTGCCAGTTGATGACATTCACTGTGACATACTTTTGTGTGTTGGAACCCGAACCCGAGATAATGTCGGTGTGTGGTTTCAAACGAAACTAATGAAAGTTACATAGACAAGCTTGGGTTACCTCTTATCATCCTTATATCCTGCTTTGTGGTAAAGTGTGTCAACACTGACATCAGATAAGCATGATAAGAGGATCAGTTATTTTCCCTCATAAAATTTGTTTCTGCATGTGAAAGTGTTGTGTTTAACTTTAATCTCATGCTCTCATTTATGTGCATTAAATTATTACCATGTGCTACGATTTGTCACATAAGGTTTTAGCGTTGTCGCCGTAGTAAGTACCCAGGGTGCTTAGAAGATTTACAGTGAGCGAGTGAGTTGGGTTTAACACCGCTTTTAATAGTATTCTAGTTATATCGCGGCGTGTCAGCTTAATGTGGGAGGAAAGCCCGAAATGATGCTGGTCACGGACGTTTACCACTTGGGTGAAACCCACGAGCATAGGTATGGTGCTGACAAACCTTGAAAAGCATAATCGGGGTGAACCGGTATTCGAACCCACAATCTGCACAGCGAATCACTGTGCCTTAGCCCACTGGGCCACCCATGCCCCCTCAGAAGATTTACAAAGGGAGGTGTTTATTGAAACCATACACGAAATCAAGCAGTAGTGAAGCTCCAGTCGAGACCAAGCAGTGATGAAACTAAAAAACATTTAGTGATAGTTACCAGGGTGTCATTGTACTAAGTGATCTTAGCACTAAGGTAATCGTAACTCCCATACCTTAACATAGACTTAAAGTCGTAGAGATAGGGTTGTTTTGTACAACAGCACCACAGCAATTAACACCCCTTCTATGTTCTGTTTTCTGTAAAACTAATCTGTAATCAGGGGTAGAAACTAACATATTTAGTCCACTAGTCATTATAATGATAACATATATTAAAAAACCCTTAAAAAGGGCAAATTTCTACTAGTCCTTAGGATACCTTAACTATTGGGCAGTTTGGCAAGGACTACAGGACTAGTGCTAATTTCTAATGCTGGTAATATACACAAGAAAATGACAGTCACATAAATTGATGGCTTAGTGGGGCGCTAATAGAGATTGCTTACAGATTTGGGTTGATTTTTGGAGCAGGGCACGTAATAGAGCAAATTCGGTAATTCAAAGCATGCATTGATTGATTAAATGGCAATGTCCTAGGTCTAAAGTGGCATGCCAGAAGGGGAGGCAAGACTGACTGGCACTGCTTGTTGGTGATGAAAATGCTTGTACAGATCGCAGCATGCGACTTCAGCCACCAGGCCAAAACCTGAGTGTATTTTGACAGGAAGGCTCAGATGACAGAGGAGCGGTCGGGTAGCCTAGTGGTTAAAGCGTAATTGTAATATTAGAGTTCAGGGTATCGTTGTACAAAGCGATCTTAGCGCTAAGTGGATCGTAACTCCCATACCATAACATAGACTTACGACAGTCGTACTCTAAGGTTGTTTTGTATGACACCCTGGTATATGTATAAGTAAATAATGTGGATGGGATTTCTTTTCTCTCCTCTGGGGCAGTCGGGTAGCCTAGTGGTTAAAGCGTTCGCTCGTCACGCCAAAGACCCGGGTTCGAATCCCGACCTGGGTACAATGTGTGAAGCCCATTTCTGGTTTCCCCCGCCGTGATATGGCTGGAATATTGCTAAAAGCGGCGTAAAACCATACTCACTCACTCACTCACTCACTCAGATGACAGAGTTGAGGGAAATTTCCCAACCACAGTCAAGTCCCGTTAATCTGACATGGTTGGTTGCATATGATTAGGTCAGATTAACAAGTATGTCGGATAAATGAAATTAAGTAGTATCGACGGTTGTGATCGAAAATCGGACAACTACACGATAGATAACGATTCAAACACGTAATAAAACCATGAATTGTTCATATTGTTTTGTTCCATTGGTCACGGAATGTTTTCTAATCATGCAACCTCTAAAGTTTAACACAAAACTACTGTTATGGGCTGTGTGACTGATTTAAAATACCTTAAAAAGCACATCTTCCCAAGGCAAGAGAGTTAACTGACTATAAAAGTCCAGTTTCCACCCTTGCCGAACTAGGCTGGTATTATTTTACATTTTGGCTGGACTAACGAATCTATGCATAGTCCAATCAAAATCGCGCTCTGAAATCGAAATCTGGTTCGTAAACTTGGTTGATTGCAGGATTTGCAAAGCATGTGCACTGCCAACTCGTTGTCAGCAGATATTTTCCAAATCTTTTCATGTTTTCAATCAAGGTGCTCACGTGATTTGATGCATTTTTGCAATGTAAAACCCGTTTTATCTCAATATAGATTTTGATTATCGATCAGATCGTGCTGACTGGGCACCACCATTTTGTGTGAAGCAAACGCAAGTGATACGAGAGGTGGAATCTGATTGGTCCATAGGAGAGGCTTAGAAGGGACATAACTGGTAATAGCCACTGGTGGCACTACGATCGAGCCCAGTAATTCCAGCCTAGTTCGGCTAGGGTGGAAACTGGACTTTTAAAGTCAGTTAACTCTCTTGCCTCGGGAAGATGTAAAAAGCATAGTGTGGAATGGAAGTCGCCAGTTTGAAACTAGTGCCACAAAGCTCGGGAAAGCTGCTTTCTTAGTGGCTAATGTCAACTTCCTGTTGGTCATTTCATTGGTTGGTCAAAGTTCGCGAAAGGTCGTTCTGACGTGACCTGTAATGAGAGGTCCTCAGCAATAGCGAGAATTTGTATCGGATTTTAAAGGGGAAGTGTACACGCAAAAATCACTTTCTTTCTTTTTCTAAACAAAACACAATTTTAGAATTAGTTAGTATCTGTGTTTGAAAATATACACTCATTTTTTTTCACAGTGAAAGTAGGAAGCTCACAATAGTGTTAAAATAATATGCCGTTATGAGGCCTTCGTTTTACGAGCGAAATAGGCCTGAGTTACCCCCCTTAGATTATGACGTAATTGGTGCCAATTCAACTGGGTCCCTGTCTATTCTCAACGCAAAAGATATCAAGGACCAGTTTGCGGTAAAACAACATGGTCTACGACACACTCCGGCGCAGTGGTGAGTCAGCATAACACAATTCTGGCTGGCATCTGAGACGCTAGAATCACAAAACTGTACCTACACCACGTGAAGCGGCTCTAACAAAGCATGATGACGTCATAATGTTTATCAATTGGCACCAATGACGTCATATTGCAAGGGGCATAAGCCATGGTGTTTTTGTTATGGAAATAGAACACTTGGTTAATGTGAAAAATATAAATCGTTTTAATGCAAAAAATATGTTAATTAAATATGATGTTTTTATATTTTTGTCTATGACACTTCTATGTTAACACTTTTAATGTGGAAAAAGTACAAGAAAAATTGGTTCATTTCCGTGTGAACTTGCCCTTTAAGGAGACTCATCTCACATCAAAACATGGGGCTGCGTACTTGCGGGCAGATGACCACAGAGTACTCAGATCACACTGTGTCAGATTAACGAGACTGATTAATAAGTGATTTCGGTAATTCATTGCAAATTTGGTGTGTCAGAGTCTGAGAATGTAGGATTTACAGGTCTGAATACCACTGATTTAATCAGTTCCCATTATTAGTGTCGGATTAACGACTTGACTGTACTCATTTGGCATGAAAATGAGATAATGACACGTATACAAGTATAAGTGACGTGCTTGGACATGTGTTTCCGGAGCGCATGTGCAGTCCAAGGATGCGTTTGGGTGAGCTGGGTTTTTTTCTGTTGTCCGGGAACACAGTTAAGGAAGTTCCCATTACCTTTCGGAAATGTGTTGTGATAAGCAATAAGAGTGAGTCGGGATTGGTATAAATTATATTTTTCCTGCTAAAAATTACGTATTTATATTTTCAGCATGAACCAATAGAATATGCTAACCTACCGCTGCCTGGAGAAGGAGAGAACTTTGTGCCTCCACTACCAGGAGAAGGGGACCCAGGACGTAGGCTGGTAGAATATCTCCCCTGGTATATCTACAATGAACATGGACCAGGAAGACCCTATTATATTAATGAAGACACAGGCGAAAGGGCTTTCAAACCCCCTAGGCATAAAAATCAGGTATGATTAACAATTAACCTCTGCCGTTCCCTCAGGGTCACTGGTGCCCCTCTCCCAAAGGGGTTTCCGGAATAAAAAAGATCCCCAGTGCCCATGCTTGTCTCCCAAAGGGGTTTCCAGAAGGAAAGAGGTCCCCAGTGCCCATGCTTGTTACTCAAAGGGGTTTCCAGAAGGAAAGAGGTCTCCAGTGCCCATGCTTGTTACTCAAAGGGGTTTCCAGAAGGAAAGAGGTCTCCAGTGCCCATGCTTGTTACTCAAAGGGGTTTTCAGAAGGAAAAAGGCCCCCAGTGACCCTTGCTAGTCCTCCAAAGGGGTTTCCGGAGGAAATGAGTTCCCCAGTGTCCCATGCTAGTCTCTCAAAGGGGTTTCCAGAATGAAAGAGGTCTCCAGTGCCCATACTTGTCACCCAAAGGGGTTTCAAGAATAAAAGAGGTCCCCAGTACCCCATGCTTGTCTCCCAAAGGGGTTTCCGAAATAAAAGAGGGCCCCAGTGTCCCATGCTAGTCTCCCAAAGGGGTTTCCAGAATGAAAGAGGTCCCCAGTGCCCATGCTTGTCTCCCAAAGGGGTTTCCAGAAGGAAAGAGGTCCCCAATGCCAATGCTTGTCTCCCAAAGGGGTTTCCAGAATAAAAGAGGTCCCCAGTGCCCATGCTTGTCTCCCAAAGGGGTTTCCAGAAGGAAAGAGGTCCCCAATGCCAATGCTTGTCTCCCAAAGGAGTTTCCGAAATAAAAGAGGTCCCCAGTACCCCATGCTTGTCTCCAAAAGGTGTTTCCGAAATAAAAAAGGTCCCCAGTACTCCATGCTTGTCTCCCAAAGGAGTTTCCGAAATAAAAGGGGTCCCCAGTAACCATGCTTGTCTCCCAAAGGGGTTTCCGGAAGAAAAGAGGTCCCCAGTACCCATGCTTGTCTCCCAAAGGGGTTTCCGGAAGAAAAGAGGTCCCCAGTACCCCATGCTTGTCTCCTCAAGGGGTTTCCAGAATGAAAGAGGTCGCCAGTGCCCTATTCTTGTCGCCTAAAGGGGTATCCAGAATAAAAGAGGTCACCAGTGCCCCATGCTTGTCTCCTAAAGGGGTTTCCGGAATGAAGGAGGTCGCCAGTGCCCCATGCTTGTCTCCTAAAGTGGTTTACGGAATGAAAGAGGTCGCCAGTGCCCCATACTTGTCATCCCTGATTATCCAGTGTATGATGTCTCCTTTGTATTATGATAAGGGCCCTGGAGCCATTCAGCACTAAACCTTGTTTGGGAAATGGCGTCACCACCTCCATTTCTCTTATCACTAACTCACCACATAATATAGGTAGAAGTTATGTCACCGAAGGTACCATGTAATTTTATTGAAACCAGACTCATTTCATAGCTATGGTCCCAGAAACGGTCCCAAGTGCCCGATGTTTGTCCCCCAAAGGGCAATTTGGCTGCTCGTAAAGAACTACCTCGGTCAGACCAAGGGCTGCTTGTAAAGAACTACCTCGGTCAGACCAAGGGCTGCTTGTAAAGAACTACCTCGGTCAGACCAAGGGCTGCTCGTAAAGAACTACCTCGGTCAGACCAAGGGCTGCTTGTAAAGAACAACATTGGTCAGACCAAGGGCTGCTTGTAAAGAACAACATTGGTCAGACCAAGGGCTGCTCGTAAAGAACTACCTCGGTCAGACCAAGGGTTTCTTGTAAAGAACTACCTCGGTCAGACCAAGGGTTGCTTGTAAAGGACTACCTCGGTCAGACCAAGGGTTGCTTGTAAAGAACTACATTAGTCAGACCAAGGGTTGCTTGTAAAGAACAACATTTGTCGACCAAGGGTTGCTTGTAAAGAACTACATCGGTCGGACCAAGGGTTGCTTGTAAAGAACAACATTGGTCCAACCAAGAGTTGCTTGTAAAGAACTACCCCGGTCCGACCAAGGGTTGCTTGTAAAGAACAACATTGGTCAGACAAAGGGTTGTTGATAAAGAACTACCTTGGTCCGACCAAAGGTTGCTTGTAAAGAACTACCTCGGTCGGAACAAGGGTTGCTTGTAAAGAACAACATTGGTCCAACCAAGGGTTGCTTGTAAAGAACTACCTCGTTCGGACCAAAGGTTGCTTGTAAAGCACAACATTGGTCGGACCAAGGGTTGCTTGTAAAGAACAACATTAGTCCAACCAAGGGCTGCTTGTAAAGAACTACCTCGGTCGGACCAAGGGTTGCTTGTAAAGAACAACATTGGTCAGACCAAGGGTTGTTGATAAAGGGGTTTCTGGAATGAAGGAGGTCGCCAGTGCCCCATGCTTGTCTCCTAAAGTGGTTTACGGAATGAAAGAGGTCGCCAGTGCCCCATACTTGTCATCCCTGATTATCCAGTGTATGATGTCTCCTTTGTATTATGATAAGGGCCCTGGAGCCATTCAGCACTAAACCTTGTTTGGGAAATGGCGTCACCACCTCCATTTCTCTTATCACTAACTCACCACATAATATAGGTAGAAGTTATGTCACCGAAGGTACCATGTAATTTTATTGAAACCAGACTCATTTCATAGCTATGGTCCCAGAAACGGTCCAAAGTGCCCGATGTTTGTCCCCCAAAGGGCAATTTGGATCAAGGGTTGCTTGTAAAGAACAACATTGGTCAGACCAAGGGCTGCTCGTAAAGAACTACCTCGGTCAGACCAAGGGCTGCTTGTAAAGAACTACCTCGGTCAGACCAAGGGCTGCTTGTAAAGAACTACCTCGGTCAGACCAAGGGCTGCTCGTAAAGAACTACCTCGGTCAGACCAAGGGCTGCTTGTAAAAAACTACCTCGGTCAGACCAAGGGTTTCTTGTAAAGAACTACCTCGGTCAGACCAAGGGTTGCTTGTAAAGAACTACCTCGGTCAGACCAAGGGTTGCTTGTAAAGAACTACCTCGGTCAGACCAAGGGTTGCTTGTAAAGAACTACATTAGTCAGACCAAGGGTTGCTTGTAAGGAACAACATTTGTCGACCAAGGGTTTCTTGTAAAGAACTACCTCGGTCGGACAAGGGTTACAAAAGAACTAAATGTATGATCTTGCTGAAAGTTTGTGTAAATAGTAACTATGACAGCTGCAATAGGATAATAATTATTTTTCAAACCTGTTTCACTTAACTCAATTGGTTTCATTTTCTTAAAACAGAAAATTGCAGAGAAACTGTCGCCGACTTTACCGAAGGTGAACTTTGACCTGACAGGGAGCCTAACTTCACGGGAGTCAGAATATGATGAGGTTAAGGATGATGGGAAGGTTTTCCACGTACACAAGAAGACAAAAGACAAGGTCAGCAGAGATGAAATTACTTCAGTCCGAGTCTCTTTCAACACCATTAAAAAATTCAAAAATATGTTTTAGTTATTTGTTTTATTATCTAGTTTTGACTCATTTGAAACAAAAACAACTGAATGTATCGATTTATTTTATTTTTGGTGTGAAGTTTAATTTGCTTTACCATGTTTACTGTATTTTGTTTCCATAGAAATATCATAGAGCGTCCAGTTTAGTAAGTTTTTCTGTTTGAATATTGTTGGTAATTTTTGAGGGGGGAGAACGATTAAGCTGCTCTACCTCAAAAGATTGTGGTCATTTGAATGTGGCCTCTTAGCTTTTTGGTCTTGCATAATTGTTTTATTCTCATATTGCTTTGGTTTCTTACCATGCTTTTGAATATGATCAATGAAAATGTCAACAGACTTGGTCAATTTATGAAAACAATTCTTCAATTCCGAAAGTCTTTGCTTATGCCATTGCCTAAGGTTATTCGGAAATACCCAGTACCTTCGCTATACCTGCAAGAATTTCTTCAACTTTTCAATTTTCATTTATCTAAAATACATTAGATAAGAATTTCTTGACAACTATGTCCAATAATGTAAGTCGATGTAAGTATTTGGTATATACTCAGTGACAACAAGGACCTCACTATTGTCCTGTCCATTGAGAAATATTGCAATAGATAGGTAAAACGTTTTACTCTGCATGCTCTTGGGTCATTATTCTTTCATTTGTCCTCTTGTCGCTATATGGTTAAGATAATGCCGATGCAACATTAAATTTTAACGCACTCACTCACTGTTATTTGTTCAAGTACCCTTTTATAAAAAAATGAGAAAAATTAGATACAAATGTTTTCTTTACTTATTTGTCACGTGCAGCATTGTGTGATTACTCAATTGTTTTAAAATAGAGGTGAGGTGAAATGGGGTTAACGTCGCGTCCAAGATTATTGCACTTATGTAGAGACGTGCATGTACGTGTTTGCGTTTGTGTGGCTGCTTGTACTAGTCCGGACTGTGGCAGATTTATAGTGCTAGCTCACTGGGATACCATGCCGCAGTTTAACATGAATAGCCCACTCAGACACAGTATACTGACTCCGAGCTGACAAGTCCTTGTTTTAGCCCCTTAATGCCGAGTGCCAGACAGGGTTACAACAAGTACCATCTTTTAACGTCTTTTGGTATGACGCGGCCAGGGATCAAAACCCGGACCTTCCGCTCTCCGGGCGGACGCTCTACCACTTGACCACGGAGGCGGTTTTTAAAATAGACATCAGCAGCAGCACTTATGTAATGTTCAGTAAGACATTGCTATTTTTCATGAAATTCATCACTCACAGCTGATTTTGTGCATAATCAGCCAGATTATGAATCTAGAATTTGTTCACCTGCCCTTGGTACACTGACTCTGCTGGGGGTGGTCGGGTAGCCTAGTGGTTAAAGAGTTCACTCGTCACACAGAAGACCTGGGTTCGATTCCCGACATGGGTACAATGTGTGAAGCCCATTTCTGGTGTCCCCCGCCGTGATATTGCTGGAATATTGCTAAAAGCGGCTTAAAACCAAACTCACTCACTCACTCACTCACTCTGCTGAGATTGCCCACCTTCCCAGAAAACATTGGACACTTGTGGGTTAATTAATCAAAGGTACTGAAAGGAAGCTGGTGTTATTTAATTTATATTTTCCCCTACTTTTTTTTCCAACTTTCTCAGAAAAAAAATCGGCAGAAATAGAAGAATAATGGCCTTAGAGAGTAATCTGCCCAATTTACTTCGGGAAATATTTACCTTAGTGGCCATGTAATTTGTTTTGTTTGTTTCCATGGTTTCCTGTAGTATTATGTTTTCTAGGTGGGAATGGTTTTGTTTTGTTCTTTTTGTAGCTGATTGTTTTCTTTCAGTATGAGAGGATTAGGAACGAGTCTGGGGATGAGTTTTTCTGCCATGTCAAAACAGGAGAGACATTCTGGCAGCTGCCTTCTGATCACAGTGTATGTCCAGCTGCTTTAGATGTGCCCTTGTGGATTGGGTGACTGAGACAGTTGACTTTTGGGGATTGGGTGCCGAAGATAGTTGTATGTCCAGCTGCTTTAGATGTGCCCTTGTGGATTAGGTTACTCAGACAGTTGAGTTTTGGGGATTGGGTGACTCAGACAGTTGACTATTGGGGATTGGGTAAAACAGACAGTTGATTATTGGGGATTGGGTGACCCAGACAGTTGACTTTTGGGGATTAGGTGGCACAGACAGTTGACTATTGGGGATTGGGTGTCACAGACATTTGACTTTTGGGGATTGAGTGTCACAGACAGTTGACTATTGGGGATTGAATGGCACAGACAGTTGACTTTTATGGATTGGGTGTCACAGACATTTGACTTTTGGGGATTGAGTGTCACAGACAGTTGACTATTGGGGATTGAATGGCACAGGCAGTTGACGTTTGGGGATTGAGTGTCCCAGACAGTTGACTTTTGGGGAATGGGTGTCAAAGACAGTTGACTATTGGGGATTGGGTGTCACAGACAGTTGACTTTTATGGATTGAGTGTCACAGACAGTTGACTAATGGGGATTGGGTGTCACAGACAATTGACTATTGGGGATTGGATAACACAGACAGTTGACTTTTATGGATTGGGTGACACAGACAGTTGACTATTGGGGATTGGGTAACACATACAGTTGAATATTGGGGATTGGGTGACATAGACAGTTGACTATTGGGGATTGGGTGTCACAGACAGTTGACTATTGGGGATTGGATAACACAGACAGTTGACTATTGGGGATTGGGTGACACAGACAGTTGACTATTGGGGATTGGGTGACACAGTCAGTTGACTATTGGGGATTGGGTGACACAGACAGTTGACTTTTATGGATTGGGTGACACAGACAGTTGACTATTGGGGATTGGGTGACACAGACAGTTGACTATTGGGGATTGAGTGACACAGACAGCTGACTATTGGGGATTGAGTGACACAGACAGTTGGGTATTGGGTGTCACAGACAGCTGACTATTGGGGATTGGGTGTCACAGACAGCTGACTATTGTAGATTTGGTGACACTGACAGTTGACTATTGGGGATTGGGTGGCCCAAACAGTTGACTATGGGGGATTGGGTGTCACAGACAGTTGACTTTTGGGGATTTGGTGACACTGACAGCTGCTATTGGGGATTGAGTGACACAGACAGTTGGGGATTTGGTGTCACAGACAGTTGACTATTGGGGATTGGGTGTCACAGACAGCTGACTATTGGGGATTGGGTAACACATACAGCTGACTATTGGGGATTGGGTGTCACAGACAGTTGACTATTGGGGATTGGGTGGCCCAGACAGTTGACTATTGGGGATTGGGTGTCACAGACAGCTGACTATTGGGGATTGGGTAACACAGACAGCTGACTATTGGGGATTGGGTGTCACAGACAGCTGACTTTTTGGGGATTGAGTGTCACATACAGCTGACTATTGGGGATTGGGTGACACTGACAGTTGACTATTGGGGATTGGTCGACATAGACAGTTGACTATTGGGGATTGGGTGTCACAGACAGCTGATAATTGGGGATTGGGTAACACAGACAGCTGACTATTGGGGATTGGGTGTCACAGACAGCTGACTATTGGGGATTAGTTGACACTGACAGTTGACTATTGGGGATTGGGTGACACAGACAGTTGACAATTGGGGATTGGGTGTCACAGACAGCTGACTATTGGGGATTGGGTGTCACAGACAGCTGACTATTGGGATTGTATGACACAGACAGTTGCCTATTGGGGTCATTGTCAAACCATTGACTCACTGTTTTACCTGCTCCAAGCCTGATTGCACTGCTGCTACTGTTGTACTGTCACCTGTTGTGGAAGCACCTCTCATTCACTTCAAGAGCTTTGCGCTTTTTATTTTCCGTCTATCTTTTTGTACAATGCAATAATTGTTTGCAAGTGTTTGAATGTAGTTACACAGCAAAGATGCCTCCATCTTTCGGCAGGATGACTGGGAGGGGGTCCTGGTGATTGGAGACATTTCTTCTATTTAAGAAATAAACTACGAGTGGGAGTTGTTTATTGTTCAATAAAACACTGAAGGGAGAATAAACCACTTTTTTTCTCCCTATAGTGTTTTATTGTGCAATAAACGACAACCACGAGTTGTTAATTTCTTACATCAGATATCAACATTATGTACAGCCTCTTGAAGTATGTTGATAAAATATACAATATTTACCCATATTTTAATAATGATGACTCCCTGAATAGAATAGGTCTTCAGCAATCTATGCTTACTGTAAAAGGCGACTATGCTTGTCGTAAGAGGCGATGGTTGATGGTTGATGCATGTCATCGATCCCAATTGCATGGATCAATGCTCATGATGTCTGGTCCTCGATTATTGTGAGATTGTGTTGAGATCAGTAAACAAATGATTGTGTTGAAATCAGTAAACAATTGTGATCAGTAAACAACTGAAATTAATAAACAGATTCTCCTGAGAATGTTAATTCTATTCTATGTTTGCAAAAATTTAGGGCAGCGTTATTTTGAAAAGCCTAAAATACTATCCAGGACTTTGGTAGCGGGGATGAATCTAACCCATAAGACAAGGTTGAAGGATGTATTTCTGTAAAACAGTTGAACATTGCAATGCTGTCACGCTGATAACACATCCTGGTCAGGAAGCTCTGTGTCTGGAGCATGTCTATTCAAACATTGTTACTTTACAATTCTATCCTGATGCAATTCAACACATCTATTTGTTTGCGTGTAGTATGAATTAAAAATGAACTTCCTGAAAGCTATAGTTGTTCACGTGTGTACATTCTGAAGTAAATAGCATCTCTGTTCTCATTCCCAGACAAAGGGATCTTTTTTTGTCAAAATGAAAACTAGCACAAGGAAGAGAGGAACATGTTTAGCTCCAGATAGATAAATATTGTTGTGTATGCATTATACATACAGATATTCGTTGAAAAATTGAATTAATTGCTGTGTGTGTTGAGAACTCTCATATATCAGTTGAGTAGTCAAACGTGGTTTGCAGTCAATTAAATGATGAAGAATTAATGCATGTAAAGTGCATATAATAATGTATTGCTTTTTTTTCAATATCAACCCAAATTTTTCAAAAGTAATTTGACAATATGACATCTTCAGTTAATACTGGGGCCCAGGGGGCCCAGTTGTCTAAAGAGCTACAATTTGCATTATGGAAGTTCAAAGGCAATAAAATAATTGAACCAACAACAGTTCACTGATTGGTATGCGGAGAAGGTGTCAACAAACAAGACGGCAGATGACACACAAAGGCTGTAGATCTGAGTGAGCGAGTGAGTATGGTTTTACGCCGCTTTTAGCAATATTCCAGCAATATCACGGCGGGGGACACCAGAAATGGGCTTCACACATTGTCCCCATGTCGGGAATCGAACCCAGGTCTTAGGCGTGACGAGCGAACACTTTAACCACTAGGCTACCCGACCACCCCTGTAGATCTGAGGAGTGAGTGGTGTTCATTCAAGATTGACAGTATATAGGACATGCTGTTATCATTTGATATGGCAGACTGATATTCCAAATGTGATGTCTGTAAGTTATTCTACTACTCAGTGGGAAACAGCATCATTGACTTCATTGGATTAGTTGTGTTTGTTGTAGGAGAAGTTGGCTGTCATGTTGTTTTCCAATCACTGTAATTCTCTTGTCTGGGTGATCCGTGAAGAATAGGTCTTCAGCAAACCATGCTTGTCGTAAAAGGCGACTATGCTTGTCGTAAGAGAAGACTAACGGGATTGGGTGGTCACGGTTGCTGACTTTGTTGATGCATGTCATCGTATCCCAATTATGTGGATCGATGCTCATGATGTCAATCACTATTTACAGATTGCCGTCATATAGCTGGAATATTGCTGAGTGCGGCATTAAACAAAAAACAAAAAACAAACAAACTCATGTCAGGGCACGTGTGGTCAAGTCAGAATTGCATACCTGAGGCACATCAGAAACCTATGATTTTGGTTTCAAGTCCAAAGTAGTAAACGTCGGAAACCTGCAACACTTTGTGCTTTCCTCCCACGTTAAGCTGACATGCCGTGATATAAATAACTGGAATACTATTCAAAGTGACGCTAAACCCACTCCCTCTTAAGTTTATATAATTCGTCAACACAAATGACATTATCTCGATAATTTAGAGGGGGCACGTGTGGCCCAGTCGTCTCAGGCGCCGCGATTCGCTGTGCAGAGTTGCGTCCCTTGGGCACGCCAGAAACCTATGATTGTGGGTTTGAATCCCGGTTCGCCCCGATTATGTTTCTAGGTTTGTCAGCACCATACCCGTGCTCGTGTCGTGGGTTTCACCGAAGTGGTAAACGTCTGAGACCTGCATCACTTCGGGCTTTCCTCCCACATTAAGCTGACACGCCGCGATATAACTGGAATACTGTTAAAAGCCGCGTTAAACCCAACTCACTCACGATAATTTAGATGTTAAACCCAAACAGTGATGTTTCTCCTGGTCTACCTGCTTAGTGAACATTAAAGTCTCCTATCCTGTTATGTAATTTAGAATAATTGATCATAAAATTTGAATATTAAATTACACTTTAATCCTTGCCTCTTGAATATGTGGAACAATGGTTGTATGTCTGGCATGGGAAACAGTTGTGTATAAATTACGCTCTACCACGTCTTCTGCCTTCATCCACACAATAAGCTCTCTTGCATAGATAGTTATAGAACACTTTGCATTTCTATACTTTTTTCACATTTTAAGGATATTTTAATTATTATATTTTTAGTAATTTAAGGAGAAAATGTAAGTACATGGCTTGTTCCCCAAAACGATCCTTGCACTACAGTTATCATAGATCTATGTTAAAAAATGTTTTAAAGAATGAGTTACGATTGTGTTACCATGGTTATACGGAACAGGCGCAAGGTGTTTGTTTGTGATACATCTCGAGAAGTAATATTAAATAAATGAATGAATGTCTTCAGAATGAAGAAGAAGCTTGTTTCAATGGTGGTCTTTTTTTCAGATACGAGTTCATAACGGCGAGACGGTGGACGAGAACCGGAACCGCCAAATGAGTCAGTCGATGAGGATATCGAAGGCAAAGTCACTGTGTGAGGGGATTGACTTCATGAAGGGAGCCAACATGGCTGCCAAGTCTTCCACGCTGCCGCCAAGCTTCTCCTACACAAACAGTTTATCGGTAATGTCATATGTTCCAGTTACCATAGTAACAACTGATTAAACATTATGAATGATTTTTCCATGTATGATTCTTGTATGGTGCAGGGTTAGAAACTAACAGTTTTTGTCCACTAGTCCTTATAATGATAACATATAGCAAAACCCTTAATAATGGCCAATTTCTACTAGTCCTTAGTATACCTTTACTATTGGGCAGTTTGGTAAGGACTACAGGACTAGTGCCAATTTCTAACGCTGATGGTGTGGAATGGTAGGAAGTTATATTGACCTGTGAAATAGAAGATCGGAGACATCATACATTGTAGATATATCGGGTTGGATTGATGTCTGACATGTAAAGCTCCTCACAGGGATAGCCCGTTTGCAGAGCTCTCTATATTATCACTGCCACGACTCATTGCTCCTCACAGCGATAGCCTGTTCCCAGAGCTCTCTGTACTATAACAGCCACCAGTTATAAATCCTCACAGTAATAAGTCTGTTTGCAGAGCTCTCTATACTATACTATGACTGCCACCAATCACAACTCCTCCTTACATATCTATGTACTGTGAAAAGGCCTTAAATATCTATGTACTGTGAAAAGGCCTTTTTTATACACTGAAAAAAGGCCTTAGCTTTCTTCACAATGTGTAAAGGCCTTACATTTCTCTATACTGTGAAACGGACTTAAATATCTATGTATTGTGAAAAGGCCTTTTTCATACACTGAAAAAAGGCCTTACCTTTCTTCACAATGTGTAAAGGCCTTACATTTCTCTATACTGTGAAACGGACTTAAATATCTATGTACTGTGAAAAGGCCTTTTTTATACACTGAAAAAAGGCCTTAGCTTTCTTCACAATGTGTAAAGGCCTTACATTTCTCTATACTGTGAAACGGACTTAAATATCTATGTACTGTGAAAAGGCCTTTTTTATACACTGAAAAAAGGCCTTACCTTTCTTCACACTGAAAAAAGGCCTTACCTTTCTTCACAATGTGTAAAGGCCTTACATTTCTCTATACTGTGAAAGGGGGCACGGGTGGCCCAGTCGTCTAAGGCGCTGGGATTCGCTGTGCAGAGTTGCGTCCCTGGACACGCCAGAAACCTATGATTGTGGGTTCGAATCCCGGTTCGCCCTGATTATGTTCCTAGGTTTGTCAGCACCATACCCGTGCTCGTGGGTTTCACCGAAGTGGTAAACGTCTGAGACCTGCATCACTTCGGGCTTTCCTCCCACATTAAGCTGACACGCCGTGATATAACTGGAATAATATTAAAAGCGGCGTTAAACCAAACTCACTCACTCACTCACTATACTGTGAAACAGACTTTAATATCTATGTACTGTGAAAAGGCCTTTTATATACACTGAAAAAAGGCCTTAGCTTTCCTCACAATGTGTAAAGGCCTTACATTTCTTTATACTGTGAAACGGACTTAAATATCTATGTACTGTGAAAAGGCCTTTTTCATACACTGAAAAAAGGCCTTACCTTTCTTCACAATGTGTAAAGGCCTTACATTTCTCTATACTGTGAAACGGACTTATGATGTCATCAAGTCCTCAAAAAGGCCTTGAAGTTTGGCAGCCATTGTTAACTCAGCTGTTCAATATATTATGATTATTTTGTCTCAAGAAATGTTTGATGACATCATTTAACAGTGATTAATCTGTAATCCGATCAACAGAAAATTGTGTTTATATGTTCAAAGTGACCCATTCTGACACTGAAAGAAAGTAAGTCAGGCCAAGTATCTTTGTCCCGACTCGGTGATGGATAAGATAAAATGTGTGTGTGTGTGTGTGTGTGTGTGTGTGTGTGTGTGTGTGTGTGTGTGTGTGTGTGTGTGTGGTTGGGTGGAGGTATACTACTCAGCTTTTGATAGGGAAAACTGATACTCTTATGTCAAGTGTATATTGAAATATATGAAGAATGACCATCTGATTATCCCTATCGAAAATTGAGTAGTATTAATTAAATCAGAAAGTGTTGGGTGGGTGGAGCTAACATAGTGAAAGGTAATTCAACATATCATGCACATGGAAGGTTGAAAAAGTTGTAATTTGTGAAAATGATACATACCATTAAATATTTAAAAGCAGCATCAGATACTATACTGAAATCTAAAAAGAAATAAGTAATGAGTGATATTTTCATAACGCCCATTGATTCCTTAGTCTATATTTTTATGCTTTTTGTATGATTTTTGATGACTTATTTTCAAAATAATACTTATCTGAAATTATGCTTGAAATGTGCACAATGAAACAACTGTGTCCTTATATTCACACAATGTGCCAGCCTGGCTTGATGCACCATTCCTCTTACCCCATGAAGCATCACAGTCCAACCAGTGCGTCCTGCAGCCACACCAGTGCGTCTCAACCAGTACGCAAAAGTGTTTTATGCTACTGCATGGCTTGTCTGTTATTCCACCCCTGCATCTTCTCTATTTATTAAACATGAGCTTAACAAGTATGTTGAGATTATATTTTTAGGAAGAACAAAAATATGCACAGATGCTACTGGATCCAATCAAATGGTTTTGCTGGTGTCAATAGCTCAATCTGTACATATAGCTATAGATCTTCATCTGTACCATAGGTTCCAGTTGACAAATTGCAATATGTTTTGTTTGTTTTTAGTGCCAATATATTTTGATGTCTGTATTTACTGTGGTACCATAACGACAAGTATGTAAAAGTCAACATAATTGTTGTTGTTGACTCATTACAAAAATGTTATGGAGAAAATTGTGCTTTGCTATTGTCAGTATGGCAAAGGATTATTGTCAGTATGGCAAAGGATTATTGTCAGTATGGCAAATGATTATTGTCAGTATGGCAAAGGATCATTGTCAGTAAGGCAAAGGATTATATACATCTGGTGATGAACATGATATATACACCGGGTGATATCCAAGATATATACATCTTGTTGATATGGTACTGATACATCATGAGTATTGTACAGAAATATGTGAACGTGCCAATAGAAGAATATTTGCCTAAGCTTGATAAAAAAAATGTTTTTGGGAAAGAATGAGGGTATTGATAAAATGTGATGTGTGAATGACTTTTACAAATGATATTGCCTACTTCAATATCAACCCCTTCCCAGGGACCCTTGTAGATCCGTGATAGAATAGGTCTTTAGCAACCCATGCTTGCTGTAAAAGGCGACTATGCTTGTCGTAAGAGGCTACTAACAGGATCAGGTGGTCAGGCTCGCTGACTTGGTTGATGCATGTCATCGTATCCCAATTGCGTGTATCGATGCTCATGATGTCAATCACTGGATTGTCTGGTCCGGACTCGATTATAAACAACAAGCCATCAAACAAATAAACTTTTCTCGGGGCCCACTATTAATACAATGTCCATGGTTTTTGTGTACCTGTAATTGGTATCCCAATCTTACCTTGCCACTCATGTTTACCTGTGTGTGTCCCGCTGTTGAGAAACCCACATTCCTGCTCACCCACATCAACCCAGCCATCCACAGTCTGTGACACACTGACATGTATTTTGACTTCATCTTCGAATGCTACAAGCAAGCCAATCCTAATAATTGTAACACTATATGTATTTAAAAAAAATGAAAAAAAATGATTGTAATACTCATGTCACATGAACACTACATACCTTCTCCACCTCATCAGCCAGTTTCTCTTATCCCTTCACTCAAGATTGCTGTCTTCACAACCATCACCTCAGTCATCCTTTGACCTATGAAGCTGTCTCTGGCCTCTGTGCTGTAAATGTCTGGTTAAGTCTCATGTTGTTCAGGTCATGCCTCCCGGTCTTGTCGAGTCTTTTCACCACATTTCTTGTGCTTGTTCTGATGTTCTTCCTACAGCATGTTGACGTCTGCTGCCTATCATCAACTGGAGCCCTGTCTCATGGCACTGGTGGGGGCACGGGTTGCCCAGTCGTCTAAGGCGCCGCAATTCGCTGTGCAGAATTGCGTCCCTTGGGCACACCAGAAACCTATGATTGTGGGTTCGAATCCCGGTTTGCCCCGATTATGTTTCTAGGTTTGTCAGCACCATCCCCATGCTTGTGGGTTTCACTGAGGTGGTAAACGTCCGAGACCTGCATCACTTCGGGCTTTCTTCCACATTAAGCTGACATGCCGCGATATAACTGGAATACTGTTAAAAGCGGCATTAAACCCAACTCACTCACTCACTCACTCACTCACTCACTCACTCACTCACTCACTCACTCACTCACTCATGGCCTGGTGGCATGTCATGTTGACGTCTTGTGTCTACCAATAACTGGAGCCCTGTCTCATGGCACTAGTGGCATGTCATGTCAGAAAGGACTTTTTTGCAAGTTCTCCCAATCTTTGCTTTTTCACTTTGTTCCCTATGTTTTTTCTCCTGCAACAGAGACCCTACTCCTCTTGCTCCAGAATGCCATCTTTCGATCACCTTACCGACCTTCTTTGTGCTTCTGCTTCTCATCCTACCATTGACATCAGCTTTCCTCACATGCCTTCCATCTTTCGATCACCTTACCGACCTTCTTTGTGCTTCTGCTTCTCATCCTACCATCACCTTACCGACCTTCTTTGTGCTTCTGCTTCTCATCCTACCATTGACATCAGCTTTCCTCACATGCCTTCCATCTTTCGATCACCTTACCGACCTTCTTTGTGCTTCTGCTTCTCATCCTACCATCACCTTACCGACCTTCTTTGTGCTTCTGCTTCTCATCCTACCATTGACATCAGCTTTCCTCACATGCCTTCCATGTTTTGATCAACTCACCTGCCTGCCAGTGTACTTGCTACACCTACCACCTACACCTACAACGCAGTGGACTTTGCTGTCAAGTGTATTCACACGAAACCTCTTTCATCTTTGAATGCCGATTCTGACCAACCTTCCTGGCCACTCAACTGCTTCTGTTGTCTGTTCTGTGTTTGAGGATGTATTTGTCCTTTTCCCTTCAGACTTTGCCTTCAGCAGCATCGTCACCTCTCCTTCAACAGCCACCCCAACACCGGTCACAGATTCAGTCATAGGCCTCAGCACAAACATCACTACCAATGTTGAATAACATGTTACAGACAGTTATTTGCTAGAATTCAGAAGGGGAGAGCTGAGAAAGGGATGAGTATAGGCTGCTAGAGCTGAGAAAGGGATGAGTATAGGCTGCTAGAGCTGAGAAAGGGCTGAGTATAGGCTGCTAGAGTTGAGAAGGGGATGAGTATAGACTGCTAGAGCTGAGAAGGGGATGAGTATAGGCTGCTAGAGCTGGGAAGAGGATGAGTATAGGCTGCTAGAGCTGGGAAGAGGATGAGTATAGGCTGCTAGAGTTGAAAAGGGGATGAGTATAGACTGCTAGAGCTGGGAAGAGGATGAGTATAGGCTGCTAGAGCTGAGAAGGGGATGAGTATAGACTGCTAGAGCCGAGAAGGGGATGAGTATAGACTGCTAGAGCCGAGAAGGGGAAGAGTATAGGCTGCTAGAGCCGAGAAGGGGATGAGTATAGGCTGCTAGAGCTGGGAAGAGGATGAGTATAGGCTGCTAGAGCTGAGAAGGGGATGAGTATAGACTGCTAGAGCCGAGAAGGGGAAGAGTACAGGCTGCCAGAGCTGAGAAGGGGATGAGTATAGGCTGCTAGAGCTGGGAAGAGGATGAGTATAGGCTGCTAGAGCTGAGAAGGGGATGAGTATAGACTGCTAGAGCCGAGAAGGGGAAGAGTACAGGCTGCCAGAGTTGAAAAGGGGATGAGTATAGGCTGCTAGAGCTGGGAAGAGGATGAGTATAGGCTGCTAGAGCTGAGAAGGGGATGAGTATAGACTGCTAGAGCCGAGAAGGGGAAGAGTATAGGCTGCTAGAGCTGAAAAGGGGATGAGTATAGGCTGCTAGAGCTGAGAAGGGGATGAGTATAGACTGCTAGAGCCGAGAAGAGGAAGAGTATAGGCTGCTAGAGCTGAGAAGGGGTTGAGTATAGGCTGCTAGAGCTGAGAATGCGATGAGTATAGGCTGCTAGAGCTGGGAAGAGGATGAGTATAGGCTGCTAGAGCTGGGAAGAGGATGAGTATAGGCTGCTAGAGCTGGGAAGAGGATGAGTATAGGCTGCTAGAGCTGGGAAGAGGATGAGTATAGGTTGCTAGAGCTGAGAAGGGGATGAGTATAGGCTGCTAGAGCTGGGAAGAGGATGAGTATAGGCTGCTAGAGCTGGGAAGAGGATGAGTATAGGCTGCTAGAGCTGGGAAGAGGATGAGTATAGGTTGCTAGAGCTGAGAAGGGGAGAGCTGAGAAGGAGATGAGTATAGGCTGCTAGAGTTGAGAAGGGGATAGTATAGGCTGCTAGAGTTGAGAAGGGGATGAGTATAGGCTGCTAGAGTTGAGACGGGGATGAGTATAGGTTGTAAAATCTTATTGTCCTTGATGTAAAATATGATAATGCTGTTCAACTCTTGGTAGTCCACGTCTTTGTGCTGAACCAAATGAACGAACAAGTGACTTGATCTGATCTGCACCAACTACAAACTCCTGCAACACCATCTTGCAGCCTGTCTCAAACAAGATGGCCACCTTCACTCCTGACGGCAAAGCAAACCCTGTCAGTCATTTTCTCCGCCATTTTGACTCCTCAGTTTGTGGTTTCAGGCAAGTGACATTCCTCAGTCCAGTGAGCCTCAGCCGGTGTCGCCCACCATTAGGTTTGATGTAAGTAGTACAAGGCCCTTCCTGATGCTATCTGCCTAATGACCGAGGTCTTGCATGGACAAGTGTATGTGGAGACATATATGTTCCTTGATGGAATGAGCATGTCATGTCAACATATTGGGTGGCCTTATCATTTTTTGTATTTGGTATGCAAGGCTGACCGATCAAACATACCTTAAATTCTAAAAAAAAGAAGTGACCTTTTTCATAAACATTTGTTTTGGCCGACAGTTTTACAATTTGGTGAACTGAAAATATCCATGAGATTTTATCACCATTGTTCATGCAAAATAATACCTATAAAATCTTTATTCTAACAAAAAATTTTTTATTATTATATCTTTTGGTTTGGTTTAGCAATTGTGCTTCTGTGATGGTTTGACCAGGGAGTTTGTACTAATCTGGAAGTTGAAAATTAATCAAACATATTTTCGACCACCTACATTGAATTTTAGGCCAAAAATGTTGCAAACCAACTTAGGAAAAATAAAAGGCTTGACATGTTAGTGCATGGTCTTGCAGAAGATAACCATTATTTTTTATGCATATAAGACATGTTTGTCTTAACCATTGTGAATATCCTTTGATGTTGTATATATTCTGTTCATGACCCTGTTTGTTTTTACCACTAACACAAGATAGCAGCCATATGCATTGTGTGTGTCTTGGGTCTTGTCTTGTGATGGTACTTGGAGTTACCTCCCTTGAATGTTGTCATGCTCTACATACTGACGACAATTTACATTAATATCATTGTCATGCTTGTCTTGTTGACACATACATTCTCCTTCTCTTCCCATTGAATTCATTGTCATGTTTTTTTCCTGTTGAAAACATACTTTTACATTCCCTTTACACTGAAACCATTGTTATTGAAAACAACATTTTCTCACTGAAAATATATTGTCCAGTTCTCTTTGTTGAAAACATAGACTCTTTTCAAGTCTTTGATGTCAATCAAGTCTCTCTCCTGTACACTCTCTTTTTATGAAAACATACACTCATGGTCATTTTGTGGAAAATAATATCATTTTCTTCGCATTTGAAGACTTACCCTCACTCTCTTTGTCATTGGCAAGGTCTCACAACCTCGGCAACAATCACACTGTGATTTCCTTACACACTGAAAACATTCTCTGATGTGTGTCATAAAGAAAAACATATTGTCTTGCTGTATACTAACCCACAAGCCCTCATGCTCTACACATTGAAATCAAGCTCTCATACTCTCCGTCTTGAAATCAAGCTCTCATACTCTCCGTCTTGAAATCAAGCTGTCATACTCTCTGTCTTGAAATCAAGCTCTCATACTCTCCGTCTTGAAATCAAGCTCTCATACTCTCCGTCTTGAAATCAAGCTCTCATACTCTCCGTCTTGAAATCAAGCTCTCATTCTTTCCGTCTGGAAATCAAGCTCTCATTCTTTCCGTCTGGAAATCAAGCTCTCAAATTCTGTCTTGAAATCAAGCTCTCACGCCCTCCATATCAAAATCAAAGTATTGAAATTCTTTGTAATAGAGTGCCAATGCCTCTGTAACTTTTGCGAACGTATATGGTCAAAATAAGTTTCTGGTGCTTGAAGATCATACTTTAAAATCTTCCCTTTCACAAAGCTGCCTTGCCATGATGTTTCTCATAGAAGCCAGTGATACTTGTTATTTGCACAAGTCAACAGCACAGACTCCTAGGAAATGAGACCCGTGAAGATCCGTGGTAGAATAGGTCTTCAGCAACCCATGCTTGCCGTAAAAGGCAACTATGCTTGTCGTAAAAGATGAGTAACGGGATCGGGTTCGATTGCCAACAGTATAGAATGTGAAGCCAATTGCTGGACCCGTGAAGATCCGGGGTAGAATAGGTCTTCAGCAACCCATGCTTGTCGTAAGAGGCGACTAACGGGATCGGGTGGTCAGGCTCGCTGACTTGGTTGATGCATGTCATGGTATACCAATTGCGTAGATCCATACTCATGATATCAATCACTGGATTGTCTGATCCAGACTCAATTATTTACAGACCTCCCTCATATAGCTGGAATATTGCTGAGTGCAGCGTAAAACAACCAACCAACCAACCTAGGAAATAAACATGTGAACATTGTTTCAGTGCTATATGATTCATAAAATAAACCAGCTGATTCAGAAGTTTGGAACAGAATTATCAATCTTAGTGATAAGGAAGAGACAGATCGACTGCTTAACAATTGTCTCCTGGCAAAATAACCGTAACAGATCAAAAGTAATTCTTGTTGGCACATTCAAGTTACAAAGGGCACGCCTAAACCTCTTTGTGAGTGCTGTAAATCCTATTCCTGCAAACTGACAAGAAACCCATCCTCTTCTTCATCTCCTCTCTATCCCTGGACCTGATCCAATCCCTGGACCTGATCCTATCCCTGGAACTGATCCCATCCATGGACCTGATCCCATCCCTGGACCTGATCCAATCCCTGGTACTGATCCAACTCCTGAACCTGATCCTATCCCTGAACCTGATCCTATCCCTGGACCTGATCCTATCCCTTGATACTGATCCAACTCCTGAACCTGATCCTATCCCTGGACCTGATCCTACCCCTGGACCTGATCCCATCCCTGAAACTGATCCTATCCCTGGACCTGATCCTATCCCTGGACCTGATCTGCTCCCTGGACCTGATCCTATCCCTGGACCTGATCCAATCCCTGGAACTGATCCCATCCCTGGACCTGATCCCATCCCTGGACCTGATCCAATCCCACGTACTGATCCAACTCCTGAACCTGATCCAACTCCTGAACCTAATCCTATCCCTGGACCTGATCCTATCCCTGGACCTGATCCCATCCCTGAAACTGATCCTATCCCTGGACCTGATCCTATCCCTGGAACTGATCCCATCCCTGGACCTGATCCCATCCCTGGACCTGATCCAATCCCACGTACTGATCCAACTCCTGAACCTGATCCAACTCCTGAACCTAATCCTATCCCTGGACCTGATCCTATCCCTGGACCTGATCCCATCCCTGAAACTGATCCTATCCCTGGACCTGATCCTATCCCTGGAACTGATCCCATCCCTGGACCTGATCCCATCCCTGAACCTGATCCAATCCCACGTACTGATCCAACTCCGGAACCTGATCCAATCCCTAGTACTGATCCTACTCCTGAACCTGATCCTATCCCTGGACCTGATCCTATCCCTGGACCTGATCCCATCCCTGGACCTGATCCCATCCCTGGACCTGATCCAATCCCACGTACTGATCCAACTCCTGAACCTGATCCAACTCCTGAACCTAATCCTATCCCTGGACCTGATCCTATCCCTGGACCTGATCCCATCCCTGAAACTGATCCTATCCCTGGACCTGATCCAATCCCTGGAACTGATCCCATCCCTGGACCTGATCCCATCCCTGGACCTGATCCAATCCCACGTACTGATCCAACTCCGGAACCTGATCCAATCCCTAGTACTGATCCTACTCCTGAACCTGATCCAATCTCTGGTACTGATCCAACTCCTGAACCTGATCCCATCCCTGGACCTGATCCCATCCCTGGACCTGATCCTTCTCCTGAACCTGATCCCATCCCTGGACCTGATCCTATCCCTGGACCTGATCCAATCCCTGGTACTGATCCTACTCCTGAACCTGATCCTATCACTGGACCTGATCCTATCCCTGGACCTGATCCCATCCCTGGACCTGATCCTATCCCTGGACCTGATCCTACCCCTGGACCTGATCCTACCCCTGGACCTGATCCTATCCTTGGACCCTTGTGTCAGAGCATGTGGCTGTACGAGCCCTGCTGGCTCCCTGCTTGAAGTATGTTCCTGCATGGCGGATGTGTATGTTCTGACTAGCCAGTTTGTGGTTTTCAGGCGGGCGATACCCCACCATCCAGCAAACCTAGGCCATCCTCGCCTACCATTAGGTTTGATGTAAGTAAGACTGTGAGTGTACACTCATATGCCTTGTAAGGTTTGTGTGTATAATCTTTTATAGTCATATACGTATGTGCATTACTCTTTAGTTACAAGCAATTACTTTTTAAGGGATCAACCATTTTATCTGCAGGACAGAGTTGGCGATTTACGTTTTATATTTTACGAGAAATATTTTTAATTGAGACTGGACATGTGTACCTGGCATCTATGTTTGTTTGTTTGTTTTTTAATGCTGCACTCAGCAATATTCCATCTATATGAGGGTCTGTAAATAATCGAATCTGACCAGACAATCCAGTGATTGAATTCATGAGCATAGATCTATGCTATTGGCTACAACTCTTACAACAAGCAAGTGATGTTAAAGACCATTTCTATCCCAAATGTTCAGGGGGCACTTGGCATCATTGTTAAGTTTTATCTTACTATGAATTTAATCCCAAAGTGGACTCCGTAAGTATCCCAGGTTAGAATTAGTCCCCATCAACCTATACTGGTAGTAAGAGGCGCCCAAATGGATCGGGTAGTCATGCTTGGTGACTGTTTTTTTTGTAATCTTGCCTAGACGGCTTGAATCATTGCTCACAATATCAATCGGGTGGTCGGGTAGCATAGTGGTTAAAGCGTTCGCTCGTCACGCCGAAGACCCTGGTTCGATTCCCGACATGGGTACAATGTGTGAAGCCCATTTCTGGTGTCCCCCGCCGTGATATTGCTGGAATATTGCTAAAAGTGGCGTAAAACCATACTCACTCACTCACAATATCAATCACTGGATTGTATGGTTCAAACTTGATTATTAACAGATCGCTGTCATATAGCTGGAATATTGCTTTGTATTGAACAACAGACAAAAAAAAAGCCAAAGTGAAATTTATTTATTTTTGAAACCATTGAATTTTTTTTTTAATACACTAAATTCCACATCTTCCCTCACCCTGGTGAAGACAAAATGGTTGGTGCCTTATTTGCTGCCCGGGGTAGATAATCCCACTGTGGAGAGAGAAGCTGCCGCACAGGGCTGCATGCAAGTAGTGTTGTGTAGTACAGTCCGTGGAGGTGTACTAGCTTTACAGTTATAGCTTCTATGGTAAACAATGCTTATAACGAACTGACACCATTTCTTCGTTCCGGCCATTGGCAGTATTTTTTATCATATAAATTAATGGATATAACAAACATGCTTATAACGAACTGAGGGATATAACGCACTATTTCTTTGGTCCTGCCATTGGCTGTATATTTTATCATATGAAATAAATGGATATAACATGCATACTTATGATGAACTGATGGATATAACGCACTATTTCTTCGGTACTGTCATTGTCTGTATATTTTATCATATGAAATTAATGGATATAACAGACATGCTTATATCGAACTGACAGATATAACACACTATTTCTGGATATAATGCACTATTTCTTTGGTACGGCCATTGGCTGTATATTTTATCATATGAAATTAATGGATATAACATACATGCTTATAACGAAATAACGGATACTCAACTTCATTATCCGTCGGGGGCACGGGTGGCCCAGTCATCTAAGGCACCGCGATTCGCTGTGCAGAGTTGCATTCCCTGGGCACGCCAGAAACCTATGATTGTGGGTTCGAATCCCGGTTCACCCCGATTATGCTTCTAGGTTTGTCAGCACCATACCCGTGCTCGTGGGTTTCACCGAAGTGGTAAACGTCTGAGACGTGCATCACTTCGGGCTTTCCTCCCACATTAAGCTGACATGCCGCGATTTAACTGGAATATTGTTAAAAGCGGCGTAAAACCAAACTCACTCACTCATTATACGTCATAATAATCTGCTAGCTAGGTATTAAAAGAATGATTGTAGTTGACGACTGACAGTCATGGATCTACACAGAGAACAGGTCAATTGTTGAAGGAACTTTTTTTTGTAATTTTTAAGCATTTTATTCGCTTTCATTTTACATCACTTACTCGGTTTTTAATTATCGTAGAAATCAAATCAGACAAAACAAGTGGTTTCATTCAATTCGTTTGGAATTTGGTTTTGAAGCATCTTTTGCAAAGATTTTAGGATGACTGAATCTTGTTTAAGAGAAAAGGATTTCTGTTATTCCGGTAATTGAAATAACATCTACTGTAGGTTTGGTCTCGTCTGTCTGGTCCAGACTCGACTATCAACTGGCCAGCATCATATAGCTGGAATACTGCTGGGTGTAGCGTTAAACAACAAACTTACTTGAAAACATGTATCTAGTCAGGAATCAGACTTATCTTTGCTTATCAGAGCAGGCAATGCTCTTCATCTTGTTTTACGCTTTTAATAATATTGTCAAGAAGACAGTGTTTGTTATATGCATATTTGAAGCTAAGATGTAAAATACCGTATTTCCTCTCTTAGACGCCTGGTTGTCTGTCAAGCTGTTTTCCCAGCGTCTATTCTGTTTGATGCTGGCGAAGTGGTAACTCCATACCTTATTGAATCCCAAATCCTATTGTCATAAAGGGTATTTTGCAGGGAACAATCATTATTAATCACCACATTATCACAGTGTAAAATAGGAGACTTCTATCTTGGGCAATCCTTCATTTCAAATGATGGACTTGGCATCTACTAGAAGCACGCCTTCTATGTTTGGACAGAGCGTATGACCCGGTATCACTTAGAGGTTGGCATGTATTGGATGCTTGGCATCTACTAGAGGAAATACGGTATTTGGTACTTGAACACTGATGACTTCAATTTGTTGATTTGGCTTGAAATCACCTGCGAACAAACGTCCTGAGGCATACATTTGCTGACACGTGAAGATCTGGGCTAGATATGGTGTTCAGCAACCAATGCTTGCCATAAAAGGTGACTAGGCTTGTCGTAAGAGGTGACTAACGGGTTCGGGTGGTCAGGCTCGCTGACTTGGTTGATGCATGTCATCGCATTCCAATTTAGTGGATCGATGCACATGATGTCAATCAGTGGATTCTCTGGTCCAGACTCGATTACTTACAGACTGCCTTCATATAGCTGTAATATTGCTGAGTGCTGCGTTAAACAGACAAAATAAGCAAACAAACATGCAGTAGTTACTGTAAGGTAAACATTACAACATTGTCATTATGCTTCAGGGGGGCACGGGTGGCCCAGTCGTCTAAGGCGCCGCGATTCGCTGTGCAGAGTTGCGTCCCTTGGGCACGCCAGAAACCTATGATTGTGGGTTCGAATCCTGGTTCGCCCCGATTATGTTTCTAGGTTTGTCAGCACCATACCCGTGCTTGTTGGTTTCACCGAAGTGGTAAACGTCACTTTGGGCTTTCCTCCCACATTAAGCTGACATGCCGTGATATAACTGGAATATTGTTAAAAGCGGCGTTAAACCCAACTCACTCACTCACTCACTCATTAGGCTTTGCTTCTCACGACATTCAATAGTCTTCTAATAAATAAATGTTCTTGTTGATGAGGTTCAACGTTTTGTGGTGGAGTGCACATGTTGTACTGGTACGCCTGGATACAAGTTGTATTGATATATCTGAGTAGAATTTTATATAGCAGAATATATGTCATATTGGTCTGCCTCAATACAATTTATATTGGTATACTTGGATAAATTTGTATTGATATGCCTGAATACAAGTCATATTGATATACCAGGATACAAGTTGTATTTATATGTTTGGATACAAGTTGTTAAACTTGTGTTCCTGAATATAAGTTGCATTGGTTTACGTGGAAACATTGGTTTTCTAAGATACAATTTGTATTGGTATGTCTCGATACAAAAATATTGGTATGCTTCAATAAAATGGTATGCCCAAATACACACCCTTTTGATTTACCTGGATCCAAGTTATTTTGCCTGGATGCTGTGGTTATAACTGGTTACTAATCATGGTATAACGTGTTTGACCTACTCAATACTGACTGGTTGCATGCATTATATACAACATGCTTGCCCTTAGTGTGAATGACTTTATCCTGAATGTTATCAACGTTGTACTATTATGAGCATTCTATTCAATGTGTTGTACAATGTGACCATGGACTGTTTTGTTCTGTTTATAGGGAATGTTGTTGATAGATATCTGAATGATGTGGTGTTGTTTATTGTGTGTTGTTTATCTTCAGCTGAATATGTAGAAGGTAAAAGTCACAATATTTCAGAATAATACACAATGTTTTACTTCCTGTTTGAAATGGCCACTGCTCTGCTCATATATGGTGAATACTGTGGTGATGTATTTGAGTGAATTTGTGATAATATCTTGGCAATGTTTTATACTTTTACGATATCTTGATACATGATTTGAATCTTGTCAACATTTAAATCTATATCCAGTTTATCCTGTATGATACCCCATGGCAATCACTGGCTGTTAATCCCTGTTAATCTCATTTAATCTCTGTTAATCTCTGTTTGTTTCCAGGATCAGCTGACAGGAATCCTGAACAAAGCCAAAATAGCTGAGGTTGGCAAACGAGTCAAGTAAGTCCTCCATCTTGTTCAGAGATTCTTCTGTGGGATTTATGTGCCCAAATCAATTTGTTGCCAAATGGTTGTAAAATGATATTGGATGAATATTGTCCTGCCAATGTGAGATTCTCCTTGCGATTTGTGGCCCAGGCAGTCTGATACTTGGCAGTTGTAGAAGAAAGTACTGAACTGGGTATTGGATGAATATTGTCCTGCCAATGTGAGATTCTCCTTGTGATTTGTGCCCCAGGCAGTCTGATACTTGGCAGTTGTAGAAGAAAGTACTGAACTGGGTATTGGATGAATATTGTCCTGCCAATGTGAGATTCTCCTTGTGATTTGTGCCCCAGGCAGTCTGATACTTGGCAGTTGTAGAAGAAAGTACTGAACTGGGTATTGGATGAATATTGTGTCCTGCCTCTGTGAGATTCTCCTTGTGATTTGTGCCCCAGGCAGTCTGATACTTGGCAGTTGTAGAAGAAAGTACTGAACTGGGTATTGGATGAATATTGTGTCCTGTCCTGTGAGATTCTCCTTGTGATTTGTGCCCCAGGCAGTCTGATACTTGGCAGTTGTAGAAGAAAGTACTGAACTGGGTATTGGATGAATATTGTCCTGCCACTGTGAGATTCTCCTTGCGATTTGTGCCCAAGGCAGTCTGATACTTGGCAGTTGTAGAAGAAAGTACTGAACTGGGTATTGGATGAATATTGTGTCCTGCCACTGTGAGATTCTCCTTGTGATTTGTGCCCCAGGCAGTCTGATACTTGGCAGTTGTAAAAGAAAGTACTGAACTGAGTATTGGATGAATATTGTGTCCTGCCTCTGTGAGATTCTCCTTGCAATTTGTGCCCTAAGCAGTCTGATACTTGGCAGTTGTAAAAGAAAGTACTGAACTGAGTGTTGGATGAATATTGTGTCCTGCCACTGTGAGATTCTCCTTGCAATTTGTGCCTAAGTCTAAATTGTAAAATCAATAAATGTCCACACTAGATCAGAGAAAAAACCAAAACATTTTTTCAAACACAATTTTTTATGTTTACAATGATAAAGGCAATACAATGGATCAAATAAGTGGCCTCCGCTATGAACCCTAGAATTAATGTTCAGAATTTTGTTGTTGAATGTCTAGAAATAGGCCTGTCCCTGTTCTTAAATCTGAGTGAGTGAGTATGGCTTTACGCCGCTTTTAGCAATATTCCAGCAATATCACAGCGGGGGACACCAGAAATGGGCTTCACACATTGTACCCATTTCTTAAATCTGAAATAGTTTTAGAAGCTGCCACGAATTTGGTGTTTTCAGATAGGTTGGTAAGTTTGTTGTTTAACGCCGCACTCAGCAATATTCCAGCTATATGACGGCAGTCTGTAAATAATCAAGTCTGGACCAGAAAATCCAGTGATTAATATCATGAGCGTCGATCCACATGCATCAACCAAGTCAGCGAGCCTGACCACCCGATCCTGTTATTCACCTCTTACGACAAGCATGGTTGCTGAAGACCTATTCTACCCCGGATCTTCACGGGTCGTTTTCAGATATGTATCCACTCCGCTCTTGTCATGTAGATACAAGGGTGGACTGATAAGTTCAAAGCCTCGCGTAGAGGGAATTGTGTAATGAAATCTTTTTAGTTGTGGGACATAACATGACATCATAGAGAAAATCCACAAGACTGGAGTCAAATGAACAAATTGTTTCACTGTGAGAAGTCTGTAAGATTAGCAGGGGTATGTGTCCTTCGGAAATGGACACACTTGAGTGAGTGAGTGAGTTGGGTTTAATGCCGCTTTTAACAGTATTACAGTTATATCACGGCGTGTCAGCTTAATGTTGGAGGAAAGCCCGAAGTGATGCAGGCCTCAGACGTTTACCACTTCGGTGAAACCCACGAGCACGGGCATGGTGCTGACAAACGTAGAAACATAATCGGGGCGAACCGGGATTCGAACCCACAATCATAGGTTCCTGGCGTGCCCAGGGGATGCCCAGGGGATGCAACTCTGCCTTAGACGACTGGGCCACCCGTACCCCACACACTTGAGGAGTGTAGAGAGGCACCATAAGGAGGTGGGCTGTGAAGCTTGTGAGGGAGAGCCTTGATGACGAGCCCTATTCTTGAAGGTCTGTCACTTCAGCAATACCGGAAATGATCCAGAGTGTATTAATGTGGAAGGGGATTATGTTGAAAAATAAATCATTTTAATATCTTTAGCTCAAGTCGTTCTATGTGAGGCTCAGAACACATCTATCACCCCAGGTCTCTTTATATAGGTACAGCCAGCCTCCTAGAAACATCCATCTCGAAACTTTTTGAACGATCATGCCAACCATCTTTATGAACAAGGGGCAGATAACTCTCAGCACTCAACATTTATTGGCCCTTCAATTATTTGCTGCCACTGCCAATGACAACAGATACATTTACAACACCCTCTACTGCCACATAATAATTGCTATCATTTAGGTTTAAAAAATAAAAGAATTGGTTCTCAGGCAATGACTTTTAAAAATATAGTGGGGGCGGGGGATATAGAAACGGGCTTCGTCCGTCCGTCCGTCACGTTTTGTTTCCAGAGCATAACTCATAAACCGTTCAATATTTTTTCATCAAACTTTGCAGGTCTGTCAGGTACATGCTGAACTGGTGCCTTTTGCTATTTAGAAATTTTAGAAGTTTTTATTTTTTACGTTTCCTTGGCAACAAGATGGACTTAGGTTCTGTGAGGGTAGGGTTCATTTCTGGAGCATAACTCATAAACCGTTCAATATTTTTTCATCAAACTTTGAAAGTCTGTCAGGTACATGCTGACCTGGTGCCTTTTGCTATTTAGAAATTTTAGAATGTTTTTATTTTTTACGTTTCCATGGCAGCAAGATGGACTTAGGTTCCAAATTATGACAAGTTCCACCTCGGTTAAAAAAGGTTAGGGTTTGTTTAGATTTAATTATGTCATAAATTCTGCAACAGGGATGGGGGATATAGCCACGTTAGTGGCAAACTCTTCTTTTTGTTTTTGTACAAACTAGTATGTAAATAAGCATACAAACTCCTATTGCCGCCATGAGATGTGCAGTAAAGCAGTGCCTATTTAAAGGGAAGTAACTGCATGCTATATTGGCTTGCATTTGTTTAGTGTTAGGATTTTTGAAAAATTATTTGAAAGGAAATAAAAACGAAATGTGCGGCAGACTTTATGATGATGCAGGCGGTGCCTGAGAACCGCGACTATTATTTCTTCAGCCTTATAGTTGTCACTAGACTACTAGTGCTTATTTCTAAAGGTGGAATTCATTTTTGAGTCAACAATATTCCCATAGAAATATAACGCTGTTTCCCCTTTCAGGAAGAACTGGAGCCAGTCGTACGTGGTGCTCCATGGCTCCAACATCATCTTCTACAAGGACCAGAAGGCAGCAGTGCACCGACCTGGCTCCCCTCACGGCAAGCCCGAGTTCATCGTCAGTCTGCTTGGCGCTAAGGTCAACTTTAGTCAAAACACGGAGGTCACAAGCAAGAAAAATGTCATCACGGTAAGCATTGATCTCATTTACTGCACTCTCCCCAGATGTTGTGAGATCTGGATCCACTTGCACAAAGCAATATTAGTGCTAAGATGATACTCCCATACATTAACATAGGCTTACAATAGTCTTAGCGCTAAGATCGCTTTGTGCAAGTGGGCCCTGGACCTTGCAAGCTTATATGTTCTCCAGACCTACAGAAGAGTGTGTGAGTGAGTTAGGTTTAACGCGGCTTTTAACATTATTCCAGTTATATCGCGGCGTGTCAGCTTAATGTGGGAGGAAAGCCCAAAGTGATGCAGGTCTCAGACGTTTACCACTTCGGTGAAACCCACGAGCACGGGTATGGTGCTGACAAACCTAGATGATTGTCTGGGTCATGATGATTGGGTTGTGATGATTGTCTGGGTCGTGATGATTGCCTGGGTCGTGAAGATTGCCTTGGTCGTGATGATTGTCTGGGTCATGATGATTGTCAGGGTCGTGATGATTGCATGGGTCCGTGATGATTGCCTGGGTCGTGATGATTATCTGGGTCGTGATGATTGTCTGGGTCATGATGATCGTCTGGGTCATGATGATTGCCTGGGTTGTGATGATTGTCTGAGTTGTGATGATTGCCTGGGTCGTGATGATTGCCTGGGTCGTAATAATTGCCTGGGTCATGATGATTATCTTGGTCATGATGATTGCCTGGGTCGTGATGATTGTCTGGGTCATGATGATTGCCTGGGTCGTGATGATTGTCTTGGTCGTGATGAATGCCAGGGTTGTGATGATTGTCTTGGTCATGATGATTGTCTGGGTCATGATGATTGTCAGGGTCGTGATGATTGTCTGGGTCATGATGATTGTCAGGGTCGTGATGATTGCATGGGTCCGTGATGATTGCCTGGGTCGTGATGATTATCTGGGTCGTGATGATTGTCTGGGTCATGATGATCGTCTGGGTCATGATGATTGTCTCGGTCGTGATGATTGTCTCAGTTGTGATGATTGCCTGGGTTGTGATGATTGTCTGGGTCTTAATGATTTCCTGGGTCGTGATGATTGCCTGGGTCGTGATGATTGTCTGGGTCGTGATGATTGCCTGGGTCGTGATGATTATCTTGGTCATGATGATTGCCTGGGTCCTGATGATTGTCTGGGTCATGATGATTGCCTGGGTCGTGATGATTGCCTGGGTCGTGATGATTGCCTGGGTTGTGATGATTGTCTGGGTCGTGATGATTGTCAGGGTCATGATGATTGCCTGGGTCGTGATGATTGTCAGGGTCATGATGATTGCCTGGGTCGGGATGATTGTCTTGGTTATGATGATTGTCTCAGTCGTGATGATTGCCAGGGTTGTGATGATTGTCGGGGTTGTGATGGTTGCCTCGGTCGTGATGATTTTGAGTCATGATGATTGCCTCGGTCGTGAAGATTGCCTTGGTCGTGATGATTGTCTGGATCGTGATGATTTCCTGCGAAGTGATGATTGCCTGGGTCGTGATGATTGTCTGGGTAGTGATGATTGTCTAGGTTGTGATGATTGTCTGGGTCATGATGATTGCCAGGGTCGTGATAATTGTCTCGGTCGTGATGATTGCCTGGGTCGTGATGATTATCTGGGTCGTGATGATTGTCTGGGTCATGATGATCGTCTGGGTCATGATGATTGCCTGGGTCGTGATGATTGTCTGGGTCGTGATGATTGCCTGGGTTGTGATGATTGTCTGGGTCTTAATGATTGCCTGGGTCGTGATGATTATCTTGGTCATGATGATTGCCTGGGTCGTGATGATTGTCTGGGTCGTGATGATTGCCTGGGTCATGATGATTATCTTGGTCATGATGATTGCCTGGGTCCTGATGATTGTCTGGGTCATGATGATTGCCTGGGCCGTGATGATTGCCTGGGTCGTGATGATTGCCTGGGTTGTGATGATTGTCTGGGTCGTGATGATTGTCAGGGTCATGATGATTGCCTGGGTCGTGATGATTGTCTGGGTCATGATGATTGCCTGGGTCGTGATGATTGCCTGGGTCGTGATGATTGCCTGGGTTGTGATGATTGTCTGGGTCGTGATGATTGTCAGGGTCATGATGATTGCCTGGGTCGTGATGATTGCCTGGGTCGTGATGATTGCCTGGGTTGTGATGATTGTCTGGGTCGTGATGATTGTCAGGGTCATGATGATTGCCTGGGTCGTGATGATTGTCTGGGTTATGATGATTGTCTCAGTCGTGATGATTGCCAGGGTTGTGATGATTGTCGGGGTTGTGATTGTTGCCTCGGTCGTGATGATTTTGAGTCATGATGATTGCCTCGGTCGTGAAGATTGCCTTGGTCGTGATGATTGTCTGGATCGTGATGATTGTCTGGGAAGTGATGATTGCCTGGGTCGTGATGATTGTCTGGGTAGTGATGATTGTCTAGGTTGTGATGATTGTCTGGGTCATGATGATTGCCAGGGTCGTGATAATTGTCTCGGTCGTGATGATTCTGGGTCGTGATGATTGTCTGGGTCGTGGTGATTGTGGGTCATGATGATTGCCTGGGTCGTGATGATTGTCTCGGTCGTGATGATTCTGGGTCGTGATGATTTTCTGGGTCGTGATGATTGTCTCGGTCGTGATGACTGCCTGGTTTGTAATGATTGCCTGGGTCGTGATGATTGTCTTCGTCGTGATGATTGCCAGGGTTGTGATGATTTTCCAGGTCATGATGATTGTCAGGGTCGTGATGATTGCTCGGGTAGTGATGACTGCCTGGGTCGTGATGATTGTCTGGGTTGTGATGATTGTCTCGGTCGTGATGATTGCAAGGGTTGTGATAATTGTCTGGGTCGTGATGATTGTCTGGGTTGTGATGATTGCCTGGGTCATGATGATTGTGAGTTGCCTGGTTTGTGATGATTGTCTGGATCATGATGAGTGCCTGGGTCATGATGATTGTCTGGATCATGATGATTGACTGGGTTATGATGATTGTCTGGATCATGATGAGTGCCTGGGTCATGATGATTGTCTGGGTAGTGATGATTGCCTGGGTCGTGATGACAGCCTGGATCATGGTGATTGCCTGGTTCATGATGAGTGCCTGGGTCATGATGATTGTCTGGATCATGATGATTGACTGGGTTGTGATGATTGTCTGGATCATGATGAGTGCCTGGGTCATGATGATTGTCTGGGTTGTAATGATTGTCTGGGTTGTGATGATTGCCTGGTTTGTGATGATTGTCTGGATCATGATGATTGTCTGGATCATGATGATTGCCTGGGAAGTGATGATTGCCTGGGTCGTGATGATTGCCTGGGTCATGATTGCCTGGGTAGTGATGATTGTCTGGATCATGATGATTGTCTGGGTCATGATGATTGTCTCGGTCACGATGATTGCCTGGGTCATGATGATTGCCTGGGTCGTGATGCTTGCCTTGGTCGTGATGATTGTCTGGATCGTGATGATTGCCTTGGTTGTGATGATTGTTCGGTCATGATGATTGCCTGGGTCACGATGATTGTCTGTGTCGTGATGATTGTCTGTGTCATGATGATTGTCTCGGTCGTGATGATTGCCTGGGTTGTGATGATTGTCTTGGTCGTGATGATTGCCTGGGTTGTGATGATTGTCTGGGTTGTGATGATTCTGGGTAGTGATGATTGTCTTGGTCGTGATGATTGCCTGTATCATGATGATTGTCTCGGTCGTGATGATTGCCTGGGTTGTGATGATTGTCTCGGTCGTGATGATTGCCAGGGTTGTGATGATTCTGGGTCGTGATGATTGCCTGGGTCGTGATGATTGCCTGGGTCGTGGTGACTGTCGCGGTCTTGATGATTGCCAGGGTTGTGATGAATCTGGGTCGTGATGATTGTCTCGGTCGTGATGATTGCCTGGGTTTGGATGATTCTGGGTTGTGATGATTGTCTCGGTCGTGATGATTGCCTTGGTTGGGATGATTCTGGGTCGTGATGATTGTCCGGGTGGTGGTAACACTGGCGTTGCCAGTATGAGACGGTCTGTTGGCTGATGTGTCAGGTGCTCTGTTGTCCATGTTTCAGCTGACGGCTAACAGCAACACCCAGTTCCTGCTGCAGTGTGATGAAGAAGCCACGGCCAGAAATTGGTTTTTCCGTCTTAAGATCGCAGCAGATGACCTTCACGATAAGGTAGCTTCACAAGCATACTACCAGTAAAGTTGAGCTCCGTAGCAATTTGGTGTTAGAATTGAAATATCTATAAATGGCAAGTTTGTGGTGGGGGGAGATAGAGAAGTATCAGGCTGAGTCATATATTGATATTGTAACAAGATGCTGGGTCTACTGCTCATAATATCCATCACTGGATTGTCTGATCCATACTCAATAAATTACAGGCTGTCGTTATACAGCTGGAATATTGCTGGGTGAACTGGGCTAAAACTCATGATGTAATGCCATTTTGACAGGGAAATCGTCTGTCTCCTTTAACCTGAGGCAATAGTGGCCCAGTCAAACAAAGGCTTCACAATTCACAGTATGAGTTGCTTCCCTTTGTCATTCAAGAATCTTATGATCGTGAGTTCAAGTCCAAGTCACCCTGATTATGATTGTAGGTTTGTCAGCACCATACCTGTGCTCATGGATTTCACCCAACTGGTAAACGTCAGAGACCCACATCACTTTGGTGTTTCCTCCCACATTAAGCAAAAATAGGGGCGGTTGGGTTGCCTAGTGGTTAAAGCATTCGCTCGTCACGCCGAAGACCCGGGTTCGATTCCCGACATGGGTACAATGTGTGAAGCCCATTTCTGGTGTCCCCCACCGTGATATTGCTGGAATATTGCTAAAAACGGCGTAAAACCATACTCATACTCATACTCATCATAGAACTCACTACTCGTCTGGTGTCAGTGTTCGATATCGTGTTACCTATATCAATAGAAAATGTTACTCATTCTTGTTGGCTTCACTAAAATGGTAATCATCTTTGACTGACGGAACTTTGTACTTTTCCTCGCGATGAACCTGACACTGAACCTGAAATACTGTTCAGTGAGGCATCAACTTCAAATCATAGACACAAAATGAAAAATGTTATTGAGGTTTAAATCTTTTCGTAGTCCTTGATATGTTGCTTGGCAACAATATTCAAGCTGTATCACTCAGTCTGTAAATAATCTACTCTGGACCAGACAAACCAGTGATTGATATTAAGAGCAACATCCCACGTAATCAACCAAGTCACTGAACCTGACCACCTCATCCATTTTGTCAACTCTTACGCCCAGCGTTGGTTGTGGCGAACCTGCGTTAACCCGGAATCCCGAAAGTAGAAATAATCTAGTTGCCACTGAGGTGTTAAATGTCACATGACCCAAGTTATTCACAGTGGTCGATATTTTCAGAATGAGAGGAAACCGGAGCAGAAACCGGAGCAGAAACCGGAGAGGAAACCTGAGCCAAGCCCCATGGAAAAAAACAGTAAGAGTTCATTATATTGTATTCTTATAAATACATATTTGCTTGTTCCTCATGTTGGATATTCATGATACAGAAACATGCCCAGCTGTGATCAATATATCTACTGTGTCATTTTTATTCATGTCTTATATTAAATAAAATAATTGAAACATCAGACAGAAATGTGGGTGACGTAGTTGCTGGTGGGGTGACGTAGTTGCTGGTGGGGTGACGTAGTTGCTGGTAGGTGACGTAGTTGCTGGTGGGGTGACGTAGTTGCTGGTGGGTGACATAGTTGCTGGTGGGGTGACGTTGCTGGTGGGGTGACATAGTTGCTGGTGGGGGACGTAGTTGCTGGTTGGTGACGTAGTTGCTGGTGGGTGACGTAGTTGCTGGTGGGGTGACATAGTTGCTGGTGGGGGACGTAGTTGCTGGTGGGTGACGTAGTTGCTGGTGGGTGACGTAGTTGCTGGTGGGTGACATAGTTGCTGGTGGGTGACGTAGTTGCTGGTTGGTGACGTAGTTGCTGGTTGGTGACGTAGTTGCTGGTGGGTGACGTAGTTGCTGGTGGGGTGACATAGTTGCTGGTGGGTGACGTAGTTGCTGGTGGGTGACATAGTTGCTGGTGGGGTGACATAGTTGCTGGTGGGTGACGTAGTTGCTGGTTGGTGACGTAGTTGCTGGTGGGTGACGTAGTTGCTGGTGGGTGACATAGTTGCTGGTGGGTGACGTAGTTGCTGGTGGGTGACATAGTTGCTGGTGGGGTGACATAGTTGCTGGTGGGTGACGTAGTTGCTGGTTGGTGACGTAGTTGCTGGTGGGTGACGTAGTTGCTGGTGGGGTGACATAGTTGCTGGTGGGGGACGTAGTTGCTGGTGGGTGACGTAGTTGCTGGTGGGTGACGTAGTTGCTGGTGGGTGACATAGTTGCTGGTAGGTGACGTAGTTGCTGGTGGGGGACGTAGTTGCTGGTGGGGGACGTAGTTGCTGGTGGGTGACGTAGTTGCTGGTGGGGTGACATAGTTGCTGGTGGGGGACGTAGTTGTTGGTGGGTGACGTAGTTGCTGGTGGGTGACGTAGTTGTTGGTGGGTGACATAGTTGTTGGTGGGTGACGTAGTTGTTGGTGGGTGACGTAGTTGCTGGTGGGTGACGTAGTTGCTGGTAGGTGACATAGTTGCTGGTGGGTGACGTAGTTGCTGGTGGGTGACGTAGTTGCTGGTGGGGTGACATAGTTGCTGGTGGGGGACGTAGTTGCTGGTGGGGTGACATAGTTGCTGGTGGGGTGACGTAGTTGCTGGTGGGGTGACGTAGTTGCTGGTGGGGTGACATAGTTGCTGGTGGGGGACGTAGTTGCTGGTGGGGGACGTAGTTGCTGGTGGGTGACATAGTTGCTGGTGGGGGACGTAGTTGCTGGTGGGGGACGTAGTTGTTGGTGGGTGACATAGTTGCTGGTGGGGGACGTAGTTGCTGGTGGGGGACGTAGTTGCTGGTGGGTGACATAGTTGCTGGTGGGGGACGTAGTTGCTGGTGGGGGACGTAGTTGCTGGTGGGGTGACATAGTTGTTGGTGGGTGACATAGTTGTTGGTGGGTGACGTAGTTGCTGGTGGGGGACGTAGTTGCTGGTGGGGGACGTAGTTGCTGGTGGGGGACGTAGTTGCTGGTGGGTGACGTAGTTGTTGGTGGGTGACATAGTTGCTGGTGAGTGACGTAGTTGCTGATGGGTGAAGTAGCTGCTGGTGGGTGACGTAGTTGCTGATGGGTGAAGTAGCTGCTGGTGGGTGACGTAGTTGCTGAGGGGGACTTAGTTGTTGGTGGGTGACGTAGCTGCTGGTGGGTGACGTAGTTGCTGAGGGGGACGTAGTTGCTGGTAGGTGACGTAGTTGTTGGTGGGTGACGTAGTTGCTGGTGGGTGACGTAGTTGCTGATGGGTGAAGTAGCTGCTGGTGGGTGACGTAGTTGCTGAGGGGGACGTAGTTGCTGATGGGGACGTAGTTGCTGGTGGGTGGCGTAGTTGCTGAGGGGGACGTAGTTGCTGATATGTGAAGTAGCTGCTGGTGGGTGACGTAGTTGCTGATGGGTGACGTAGCTGCTGGTGGGTGACGTAGCTGCTGGTGGGGTGACGTGGTTGCTGGTAGGGTGACGTAGTTGCCTTTTTGGCGACGTAGCTGCTGGAGGGGTGACGTAGTTGCTGGTTGGGGACGTAGTTGCTGGTATGTGATGTAGCTGCTGGTCCATCCAAGCGTGAGGGGAGATGCAGGGTGGTAACACTGAATACTAAACGGTTAACGAGAACAGTGATGGTAGAATCCTGAACAGACGTCATCTGCCAGCTTCATTTGTTGTCAGTTATGAGAAGCCAGTCAGTGGAGGAGACACCAGGTGGCGCCTCGGAGAGGCACCCATCTCTTAATGCAACCTATTTCCGTATCCGGGACAAACTGCGCAGCCTCATCACCCGGCGCCCCCTACAGGAAGATTTGGTCAAACGAGGAATTATCAAAGGTAAAGTTGCCAAGGCTCTGAAGAAGTGTCAGCCAGCAAATGTCTACACTGTTAACCTTGAGTTGGGGATACATCTGGGAGTAGCAGAGGTTGGTGACAGCGTTATGCTGGTGGAGCAGTGGAAGTAGTTGTAGAAGTGTCGCTGTGTGTGTTAAGGCTGGGACGGGTAACTCGGGTACCTGGGTCAGGTGGGTACTGAGTAGGACCCGGGTACCCATAGGACTACCCGGACATGTGGTTAGTCACGTGATACATTGTTTAATGACAAAAAATACCTAGAACTCTATGGTTACACTACAAGTCACTAATGTTCGCATTTCTTTCTAACTGACTTTTCATATGGTTGAATAAAGACATAACTTAAGTCAACTTCAGTGTATGCATGACCAGATCGTTTAATACATGTATCTGAATATGTTTTGCAAGTGCTGTGGTAAAACAATTCCCAGTCGGACATTTTGTATCTCTTGAGACCAACAGTGGGTACCCGGGTAGGGTCGGGTAATATGGGGATGGGTGACCGGGTAGTAAATTTGGACTCGTCCCAGCCCTAGTGTGTGTCTGTGTGTCTGTGCCCGTGAATGCCACACTCAGCAATATTCTTGCTATATGAATGCTAACGTTAAGGGATTATATTCAAATATAAAAGTTATTAAATACTGGCTGAGACTTATTGACATGCCCTCATATAGATTGCCAAAAAAGTGTTATAATATGATGATAGTTTATGATAATAATGGGAAAAGAAACTGGGTTACAGGTGTTAGAGAATTACTTTTCAGTTGTGGCTTTGGTGATATTTGGCAAAACCAAAATGTGTATTCCAAATCAATGTTTATACTTTCATTAACCCAGAGATTAAAGGATATTTATTTACAATCTTGGACTGCATCATTGACTCTAACAAACAAGTGCTTTTATTACAAAATGTTTAAATCAGAAATAATTATGGAAGATTATTTATCAAAAGTTAATGTTAAAAATTTTGAACGGCTCTTTCACGGTTTAGATGTTCTTCTCACGACCTTTTAATAGAAACAGGGCACTATGTAAACATTCCTCGTGAAGAAAGAATCTGTAATCTATGTAGTTTAAACTCAGTAGAAGATGAATTTCATTTCTTACTTGTATGTCCAGTGTATTTACACCTTAGAGAAAAATACCTGCAAGCTTATTATTACAGGTACCCTAATATTATTAAATTTGTTACACTGCTGTCAAACACTATGAAATTGCTAATGTGTTGTGTGATATGACATGTTGAAATGTGATATAATATAGGTGTGATATATGGTACGATGGTATGTTATGATATGATAATGGTATATGAAATAACACTATATAGTATGATCTTATAATAATGATACAATATGATATGATGTTATAGAATATGTTGTATGATATAACAAGTTGTGATATGGTAAATTATGTGACTGTGTTGAGATGCGATGTGGAATGACGTGAGGTGATTTGGTGAGATATGTACATAAATTGTATAAAATTGTATATTCTTCAAATTGTACTATAGGCCTGTGGCCTCTTCAGTACGTGAAATAAAGATTGATTGGCAGATCGCACCAACTCTCGTTTATTTTCAGCAGCCATGGTCAGTTTACTGCTATTTATCATATAATGGGTATGTTTCTCAGGAGGATACAGCCAACAGATAAACACAGTATTCGTTGGGGTCATATAAGGAAAAATATGCTAATATGAAAGGTTAGGAAGGTAGTACTTTAAGTAGTGTTTTTTTTCCTCAAATTTCAAATTTTTATTGACCAAGTCTGTTGTCACCTCTTAGTTTACCTAAATTCTCCGAAGGGATATTATAATTATTTACTGCACATGATACTAAAAAAATCTTTTTCAAAATACTGAACCCCTTTGAGGGGGTGCACATTATTGAGAAAGTATGGTAAGTACAGATGACGTAACAGTAACTGATGAGCTTATGTGGATGTCCTGTCCATGTTTCAGACCGTGTGTTTGGGTCTGATCTCCGAGAGCTGTGTGAGAGAGAGCATAATACTGTCCCGGCGTTTGTGACGAAGTGCATCGCCGCTGTGGAACAGAAAGGTACTGTGAGCCGCCCACCTTTGTCAACGAGACCTGTTTCCAGCATGCATCTGTTGTGTTATTGTTTCATGAAGCCCGTCTGTCCGTTCCATGATAGAGTTACAGTCCAGTGACTTGAAACACGGACACAAACACGTTCCACCACCCAACCACTCACATTCTTACACATCAGCAATCCACCCACTTACACCCACTTTACACCCATCCACTTACCTACACATCCAACATCCACCCACTGTGTTGTGATATCTCAAATGTTTCTCTGTTCCAAGAAGCAACTACCGGTATATGTAGTGGTAACTCAAATGTTTCTGTGTTCCAAGAAGCGACTACTGGTATATGTAGTGATAACTCAAATGTTTCTCTGTCGAAACCAGGTTTGGACCATGATGGATTGTACCGAGTCAGCGGAAACCTGGCAGAGATACAGAAGCTGAGATTCATTGTAGATAAAGGTAAGAGGATGCTCACCAGCGCATGCTCTCATTTGGAGGTGTCATGCCGTAATTAGGTGTCATACTGTCAATAGGAGGTGTCATGCTGTCATTAGGAGATGTCACGCTGTCATTAGGTGTCATGCTGTCATTTGGAGGTGTCATGCTGTCATTAGGAGGTGTCATGCTGTCATTAGGAGGAGTCATGCTGTCATTTAGAGGAGTCATGCTGTCATTTAGAGGTGTCATGCTGTCATTTGGAGGTGTCATGCTGTCATTAAGAGGTGTCATGCTGTCATTTGGGGATGTCATGATATTATTGGGAGGTGTTATGCTGTCATTAGGAGGTGTCATGCTGTTATAAGGAGGTGTCATGCTGTCATTTGGACGTGTCATGCTATCATTAGGTGTCATGCTGTCATCAGGAGGTGTCATGCTGTCATTTGGAGGTGCCATGCTGCCATTAGATGTCATGCTTTAATTTGGAGGTGTCATGCTTTAATTTGGAGGTGTCATGCTTTCATTTGGAGGTGTCATGCTGTCATAAGGTGTCATGCTGTCATTAAGAGGTGTTGTGCTGTCATTTGGAGGTGTCATGATATTATTGGGAGGTGTTATGCTTCATAAGATATTGATGTCAATTTTCATAAATATATACATCAACAATAATAACTTCACAGAATAACGAAATGGGTTACATTGTTCTGCCAGATAATGTGACAGATGCCTGCCCATTCTATTATCAGCCAGTCAGGAAACATTAGCCTGCTAGTGGGCGTGGCCTAATTCTTTTGGGATAAATTGCTTGGCTAGCCAATCAAATCGAAACACGTTGCCATTTATTTGTAAGCCTACAGTCCTATACCAGTGAAAATGGCATGCATGTTCATCTGTTGCTTCAGTATAAACTGCCAGGTGATTTTGTGCAGATAATCTTTATTTCAAGGCAACTATTACTGAGAGTTTAAGACTCTATCAGTGTTCCCGGTGGCTTTTGTAAGTACCAGTCCAGGTGGACTGGCAACTCTAAAAATTACCGGTCCCCCAAATTTTTGACAGTCCCATGTTTTAACAAATAAAAAAATGCATGACATTTACCTGGTTTGTTTTATTTCTTTCAATACTATGTCCAATGTTGTGTACGCTCATGGCTGACCAATGCTGATGTCATCTCTGAAGTAACTTAGCTAGATCAACATGTCATTCAAAACTTTCACTTTTTTTCTGGAATATTTCACTTTGGTTGCTTTATACAGATACTTAACCTCCAAACAAAGAAGAATGTTATTTCCTTGCACTAGTAATAGACAACTGAAACCCTGATAAAAAGATCAGCTGACTTTGTTAAAAAAATATACGTTATTGAATATCTCTGATGTTTTGTTCAACAACAAAGATTTACAAGGTACTTAATTTGCCAGTCCACATGGTCTGGCCGTCACATGAATTACCAGTCCAAGATTTTACTGGTAAAACAAATGGTAATTACCGCTTTATTTAATGGCTGTTTGAATTTCTGCTTCACAGAGGAGACATACAGTCTGGATGATGAGAGCTGTGATATTAACGTCCTGACGGGAGCGCTCAAACTTTTCTTTCGGGAACTTAAAGAACCACTGTTCCCCTTCAGCATGTTTGATCGATTCACAACCGCCATTAGTAAGTCACATTGTTCAACATGTTTGATCGATTCACAGCCGCCATTAGTAAGTCACATCGTTCAACATGTTTGTTTGAATCACAGCTGCCTTTGGTAAGTCACATCGTTCTACATGTCGGATTCACGTCTGCTATTGACAATAGATGTCTTAGACACAAGAGATTTAGGAATGCACCTTGAAATGAATGGATAAAGCTAAAAGATACAATGTTTCTGATCTCCTTCTGGTAGAGAGAGAAGGCAAATTGCATCTACAAGTGCCTGTTTCATGATTGAACCAGGTGTTGGAAGCTTTAGACCTGACTTGAAATGTTTCATCTGTCTTGCAGGGAAGGAGAAGAACTCCCAGAAGTTGCAGGCTTTCAAGGAACTTGTGTTGGAGCTACCTAAATGCCACTACCACACTATGAGGGCGTTGTTCAAACATCTCACAAAGTAAGTTGTATACTCCCAGGGGAGCTGAAATTTATAACTGGACTGCCAACGGATCCACTATTTGGGGAACAAATAAAACCGCATTTGAACAGATACTAGTACCTAGATACCTGTGGTATGTAAATGTATAATATAATAATAATAATAAAAAGTTAATACAGGCCAGATCCCGGGAGGCATTTTAGTGTTGCCATAGTTACATTGGATCTTAGAGGGCATTTTAGTGTTGCCATTGTTGCAGGACAAAACCCAGGGAAAAATTGTAAAGTCACCATAGTTACAATTCAAAGCCTAGGGGAAGTTTTAAAGTTGCGATGGTAACAGTTGAGATGCGAGGAGAGATTGTTATATTTCCATAGTTACACTTTGGATACAATGGGAGATTATAAAGTCGTTATTGTTACAAATCAAATCGAAGGGCAGATTGTTATGTCGCTATGATTTAAGACTGTACAAGCACCTCATTATTTTAGAAATAAATGACGAGTGAGAGTTGTTTATCATACAATAAAACACTGAAGGGAGAATAAACCACGAGGGGCACAGCCCTGAAGGGGTCATCTCCCTGCAGTGACCACGAGTAGTATATTTCCTATATGAGATATCAGTATTATGTACAGCCTCTTTAAAGATGTTAATAAAATGTACAAGCTTTAAAAATATTTACCCATATTTAAATAATGAAAACTCCCTCAATAGAACCTGACCTTGGCAATGTCGAACAAGTCCATTTTATTAACAGGGTGTTAAATTTGGTCTTAACAACAATGTTTTATCATGACGTAAACGATGCTTCGTTCTTCATTGCCCTTTGTGATTTATCATGTAGCTATCTGACTATGAAGATCCGGGGTAGAAAAGGTCTTCAGCAACCCATGCTTGCCGTAAGAGGTGACTAATAGGATCAGGTGGTCAGGCTCACTGACTTGGTTGATGCATGTCATCGTATCCCAAATGCGTGGAATATTTCCAAGTGTGGCGTTAAACAACAAACAGACAATCCGTTCTACCATGTGCTAAACGTGACCCAGTTTTGTGTTGTGTGGAAAAGACTCGTCCTGATTCCAGTGGTGTTTTTGCCAAGCTCGGGTACATTTGTGCATCTGATTGTGGTTACGACCCGTGAAGATCTGGGGTAGAAAAGGTCTTCAGCAACCCATGCTTGTTGTAAAAGTGGAATATTGCTGAGTGCGGCATTAAACAACAAACAAACAAAAACATAGCTATCTTATATTGGTGTATAGAGGGATTTGTCCATACGTGACGTTGTTCATTCTTGTCACAGCGTCATCGCTCACAGCAAGGAGAACAGAATGCAGACACAGAACGTGGCCATCGTGTTCGGTCCGACGTTGATGTGGTCGGACGGCGAGGCGGGCGGCATGGCCGTTATGACCATCATACAGAGCAAAGTAGTAGAATATGTCCTGCTAGAGTATGACCGACTGTTCCCTTAGCCAATCACAGGACAGGTTACAAGACCTTCAGCCAATCAGTGTCAAGGTAGTCATGTGTCATTAGTTTCATGAATTGCTGAAACTAGTTTTGATGCTAGTAGTTTTGATGGAGGCAGGTAGACGTCTGAATCAGGTGATTCACTTGATGCTGCAGATGGTGTAAAGGTTGTAGAGACAGCAGCTCTACAGATTGCATCAGCATTTGTCTCTAGCATGTCTTGTGAATGGTGCATGCATGGTATAGAAAATAAATCCAAGATGTTTTTGTGAAAATTCTTAGGCAGTTTGAAAAGGCAGTTTGATGCTTATTAGTTAAGTAGTTTGTGACAGTTTTGCGTGTTTCTTGGCCAAAGTATTCTTTACTTTAGAAATTGATGAGTTCTTCCACGTTAATTCGACATTGTTGGATTGATGATCTAACCCTGAAGATGAGATGAGTGATAAAGTGATTTATACCATATCAGAGGAAGGGTGCACTACAAATGTCATATTGTTTGACAAATATTTCTCTGACACAGCATGTGTTATTGTCATGGTATGCTGCAAGAATTTTGTATTATTCAGCTGTTTTTGTCAGATGTTTCTACGTGTTCTACTTCTACTCCCGGGTACCCATTATACAGATGACTGCACAGGGATGCTGTTACATACGCGAGCCGTCAGGATTCACTGAAGAATGGATGTATCACGGTATATGTGATGCATGATACATGGGATACTCTTGATACATGATGGGATGCGTTATATATGTGATACGTGAAATGTATCAGTGTTAGAAATGTAGCACAGGTGGTGAGTTGCCTATCACACTGATTGTGAAGATCCGGGGTAGAATAGGCCTTCAGCAACCCATGCTTGCCATTAAAGGCGACTGAGCTTGTTATACGAGGCAACAAACAGTATCGGGTGGTCAGGCTTGCTGACTTGGTTGATGCATGTCATCGTATCCCAATAGCGTGGATCGATGCTAATGATGTCAATCACTGGACTGTCTGGCCCAGACTTGATTATTTACAGACTGCTGTCATGTAGCTGAAATATTGCTGAGTGTGGCGTTACACAACAAACAAACAAACAAAATCACATTGATTTTGATATAATCATGTATGTCAGTGTATGTCATTGTAGATCTTATACAGATACTGTACAGCACAGTCGGGTAGCCTAGTGGTTAAAGTATTTGCTCTTCACGCCGAAGACCCGGGTTCGATTCCCGACATGGGTACATAGAGTGAAGCCCATTTCTGGTGTCCCCCGCTGTGATATTGCTGGAATATTGCTAAAAGTGGCGTAAAACCATACTCACTCACTCACTCACTGTACAGCTCCGCCTTTGTGGACAGCTTGTTTACTGAGTTAACCCTAGCATGTTTCTGTTGGTGGGTGCTTCCTCACATGTTTCTTGGTTATGGACAGACCTGGTACTATCCGCCTGATTGTTACGCTATTCGTTTTGTATATACATGTTAGTTGTTGATTGTAATGGTGGCCGGTGTGATCTAATCATGTCGGCCATGTTGAAGTGGTCACACACATCACAACGAAGATGACCCATAGTTCACCCATGGAATTCTGGGAAATTAGTGTCGGCAATAAATTATTGATGTTTGAACATTCCAGATATTCTAGCCAGATTACTTTGATCATAATCATGTAAACATTCCAAATTGATATATTTAGTTTTGGACTACTGTATGCAAACACCGGCAAGTTGTTTCCAAAGACCAGAACGATTACTTTACTAACGGAGCAGCCTGTCTTGAATTCTATAAACTACCGTATCGACGTAATAAGCGCCCAGGGCGCTCTCAAAATTAGAAATAGGGGGCTCTTATTAGAATTAAATTTGGCGAGAAAAAAAACAGTTGAAAGATCGTAAATTTTGTTGTTTGCCTGAAATGATACAAAAGAAAAGTCTGTGCGTATTATACACGACAGATATATTTTCCAGAATTTGATTGCCCATAATTAAGGGTGCATATAACACACGAGTGCATATTATACACAAATAAATAAGTCTTGTGTACATGAATCAATTGGAAGGGTGCTAATAGGGATTGTTCACATGCCAATATATTAGCAAATATCCCAGTGGGATACGGTATATGAAATTTAATATACTCTTAGTTGATTGGAAACATGCTGATATTTGCACCTTTCTGCTTGAGTTATTGTTTTAATCTGTACATATTTACATATTAATCAAGAAACAAATACTAAGTTCATCTGGTCTAATGGCAGTTTTGAATGCGGTTGTTTACATATTATCAAGTGTTATCATTCCATTAAAACAATTTGACATTTAATCAGATATGTAATGAAGAATATCAATTTACAAATGTAACCTGCTCAAATGAACATATATTTTATTAAAGAGAATCACAATGTCCATGTGAAATAATATAAACCTGGAAATAATTGTTCGGATAATTGATTTGATGTAGACATGGGTTGTTCTCCGACTGTGGAGGCTTCAGATGCCAAACGTTTTGAGCCATATCTTGGCTGTTGATTTACCCTAATTGATTGTACATAGCTTTCGTAAATCACTACGCATGTAGGCGTTGATCACATATATAATTGTGCAATATGCTAAGTTGACAAATATGGCATTGCTAGGGTGGTGACATTTCAGTCAGGTCAAGTTCCAACACACGCTTGTGAGCTAGGTTTCTAAACAGGGGCTGCTGATAAAGTCTGAAGGACTGACCTCTTTCACCTGTAACAACTCGTCTGAGATGACGTGTATCATGATACCCGAGTACTGAGCAGGGGTGGCTCAGTTGTCAGAGTTATGTCCCTTGGGCGCACCAGAAACCTATCACTGTAGGTTCTAATCCCTGTTCACCCCAATTATGTTTCTTGGTTTGTCAGCACCATACCCGTGCTCGTGGGTTTCACCAAAAGTGGTTAAACGTCTGACACCTGCATCACTTTGAGCTTTCCTCCTGCCTTAAGCTGACAAGCTTTGTTATAACTGAAATACTGTTCTTTAAGCTTTAAGCCCAACTCACTCACTCACTCACTGATACCTTGAGTAACAATCAGTGTCTATGGCAGTCTTATTAGACTCCGATCTTTACTCTGATACGCCACCTCTCTGCCTGAAGATCTGACTGCCTCTACATCCCTGACTGGATATGATAGGGCACGGCTGGTACTTTCAAATCAGCCAACGTTGAGGTCCTAAATTTCCGTAAAAGCGAGGAAGCGATTCAGTGCAGCATATCTATCTTGCTGTATCTGTTGTAGATATTTTTTATACACCCTGTCATTTCTGAGGACCATTGTCCGTTCAGCCAATAGGGTAGTAGTATTGCTGTGCCCTTCCTGTACCAGATCTAGGCTCTCAGAATGCCTCTGTTCCCTATACAACTTGGATGTTCTTGCAAGGGACTATTCGTATTTTGTAGGGACTTTGCATAGGTCTTCAGCAACCCATGCTTGCTGTAAAAACGGCTATGCTTGTCGTAAAAGGCGACTAACGGGATCGGGTGGTCAGGCTCGCGGACTTGGTTGATGCATGTCATCGTATCCCAATTGCGTGGATCGATGTTCACGATGTCAATCACTGCATTATCTGGTCCAGACTTGATTATTTACAGACCGCCATCACATGGCTTGAATATTGCCGAGTTTGGCGTTAAACAACAAACAAACAGACTGTAGGGGTTTTTCTTTGTTGAGATCAAAATTTCTGAATTGAGGAGTTGTTGAAATGAAAATAGATTATTCTAGAAAGTTTACATCTGATTTGCTCAAGAAACCCAATCTATGTTGGGCGGTCAGAGTTCAGAGGTCACTCAGGGGTCACCTGACACTGCTTCCTGTTAAGGGTGTGGCCGATCTACACACAGAGAGGTATGTATTGCTTGAAGCAATTTGATTGTTATGAGATTGAATGCGAGTGTTGATCAATGATGGTTGCTGCACTATGAGGGCTTCCTATATTTCAGGTAATAACATATTTCACAGTTTCACATTTCAATATGAAATTAAATATGTTTGTAGAATCAAGATGATAATTGTAATCTGATATTAATTCCAAGTTCTACTAGCATTAATCTTTCTTCACAACTATATAAAGCAAATATCAAATCACAGTCAAAATTTTCCCGTTTTTTTATTCATAGAATTTGATAGCGATACATTATTACTTGCATTTTGTAATCAGAGATTATGAACATTCGATTCGTTGTTTTATTGCTTTAATTCAACATTTTCTAATAAATTGTGATTCAGTTTCAAAGAATCAAAATGGTGTGGCATTAATTTCAATTTGTCAAATTCAATATCTTTGATCTCCTGAAGTAGCCATAATGACAACAGTTCTCAATGCCCCTATTATCCTGGGGCATTTCATCTACCCTGATCTATCTGTGAAAGAGAGAGAATAGCTTGTTATCCTAGGATTGGCAGGTGTCTTAAAGGTGGCCTCCACTTTGATTAAGGCTGGGGAGCTTTTATCTGCTTTATGTCAGTAGGTATGGGGAGTGAGAGAGCTAGGCTAGCCTTGTAATCCTAGGATTGGCAGGTGTCTTAAAGGTGGCCTCCACTTTGATTAAGGCTGGGGAGCTTTTATCTGCTTTATGTCAGTAGGTATGGGGAGTGAGAGAGCTAGGCTAGCCTTGTAATCCTAGGATTGGCAGTGGTCTTAAAGGGGCCTCCACTTTGATTAGGGCTGGGAAGCTTTTATCTGCTTTATGTCAGTAGGTATGGGGAGTGAGAGAGCTAGGCTAGCCTTGTAATCCTGCGATTGGCAGTGGTCTTAAAGGTGGCCTCCACTTTGATTCAGGCTGGGGAGCTTTTATCTGCTTTATGTCAGTAGGTATGGGGAGTGAGAGAGCTAGGCTAGCCTTGTAATCCTGCGATTGGCAGTGGTCTTAAAGGTGGCCTCCACTTTGATTCAGGCTGGGGAGCTTTTATCTGCTTTATGTCAGTAGGTATGGGGAGTGAAAGAGCTAGGCTAGCCTTGTAATCCTGCGATTGGCAGTGGTCTTAAAGGTGGCCTCCACTTTGATTCAGGCTGGGGAGCTTTTATCTGCTTTATGTCAGTAGGTATGGGGAGTGAGAGAGCTAGGCTAGCCTTGTTATCCTGGGATTGGCAGTGGTCTTAAGGTGATCTAGAAGTTGGTCACTTGTTGAAGAAGGGTGCTTTGTATGGTGAATACGATGGGTGTGTCACATTGTGCAGATTCACCCCTAGTATATTTCTTCAACATCAACTAACCGATACAGTTATTATTTCCCATAGTATAACATTTTTTATCTCTTTTATCCCCAAATACCAAAAAGCAAGGGGGAAACAAACAACAAGCAATCTGTATTTATACATAAAAAGAGTACCTAAATTTGCTAAAGCATTGTTTCAAGAAGAAAACAAAAGTTATGCTTTGATTCAGGTGAAGTCTTTGCTTGAGTGAGAAGGAGAACAAGGTTATCAGACATATTTATTGCAAGCTAAAATGTTTCTTTTCATTATAATGCTAGTAATTAAATCATCATTGATTTCTCTTATTGTATAAAATAATTTTTCTGTTGCATAAAGTTATTATCCCCCATAGTTTAATGTTATTATCACTGTACAATGTTATTATTTCCTATGGTGTAATATGATTCACCATGTTCACAGCACCTGTCACTAGCATCTGTTAACTGTACATAATCCTGTTTGTGTAATATAAACAAAACTTACATATATCATAGTTCGTGGACAATATTTATATATTTTGAATTGTGGTTTGAAATCAGGAAATTGTGAATTGTTGTGGGGATTATTTGTGTACATATTTGAAAGTTGAATTCCAGAGTGTTGAATGTGGCAGTCCATCAGTGTTGGGAGAACTGGAATGAAACTGTTGATTCAGATGACTTTAATTTTAGTTAAACACTTAAACCTCTATCTGGTCTGGATTACGTGTCGCATCAGAGTTAAAGATGAGGTCACATTAACTATTGCTGATAGCTTCTGCCTCCTGCCTTAACTGTCATTACTAAGTACAGAGCTCCAGGTTGGCATTTGCTGAAAATTTAAAATAAATCACCGTTACCATCAATTTTGAGCTGCTTGCGTACAATTATGCGAGAAACATTTAAAAGACAAAAGTATGACAACACTCTGAGTATTTCCTCATGTATCCTTTTTAACTTACATATCTGTTTTTCTTTAGTAATCGATACAGGCATCAGACAAACTTTAACTGCACTCTCCTTGGTAGTTCGAGCTGAGTGTTTATCATCTTCCCGAGGCAAGGGAATTAACTGACTATAAAAGTCCAGTCCCTTGTCGAACTACGCTGGAATTTTCAGGCTTGATTGTAGCGCCACCAGTGGCTATTACGAGTTATGTCCCTCCTATTGACCAATCAGATTCCATCTCTCACATCACTTGGGGCGGTCGGGTAGCCTAGTGGTTAAAGCGTTCGCTCGTCACGCTGAAGACCCGGGTTCGATTCCCGACATGGGTACAATGTGTGAAGCCCATTTCTGGTGTCCCCCGCCGTGATATTGCTGGAATATTGCTAAAAGCGGCGTAAAACCAAACTCACTCACTCACTCACTCACTCTCACATCACTTGCATTTCCTTCAAACAAAATGGTGGCACCCTGTCAAGACGTTCTGATCAATAATCAAGATCTATATTGTAATAAAACAGGTTTTACCCTGCAAAGTGCATCAACTCACTTGGGCACCTTGATTAAAAGCATGACAAAATTTACAAAATATCTGATGACGCCCAGTTGGCGGTACACATGCTTTGCAAATCTTGCAGTCGACTGAAATCTGCATGTTGAAATACATGCTGCTTACGAACCAGATATCTAGTTCATTAAGCGATTTTGATTGGACTATACATAGACTTGTAAGTCCAGACAAAATGTAACTTGATAATACAAGCCTTGTTCGGCAAGGGTGGAAACTGGACTTTTAGAGTCAGTTATCGGCCTTGCCTCGGGAAGATGGTGTTTATGAGCCATGTTACACACTAGGGCCTCAGCACAAACAGATACACAATTAGAAGTCGCCTGAAACAATTTCAGCAGCATTTAAAGAAATAAATGTCTGATCATTGGTGTAATGATACCCAATAAACGGGACCCAAGGCAGTAAAAATATATTGATAATTATAAATAGAGGTATCATTTCAACAGTGAGATGACCTTAAATTCTAAAATGAAATAGGTTTTTCTTCTAATTCAAAACCCTAAAAAAACTATCAGTATCAATACCCAATGTGAATGATAACTTGTGAGTAAAAACTCAGTGGCTCCAAAAGAATTATCTGTAACCCTGGGAGCAAGTTCTTGGTCAGGAGCTTGTGGTATGTCAGTCAGCACACCAGTCTATCAGTGTAATGTGTATTGGCTTATATTGACTTGATGTTACCGTTTTCAGTTTGGAGATTTGAGGGTCTTCAAAAATATATGTGAATTATTAACAATGGTGTAAGGCTGAAAAAAATAAAAGAATTGGTTCTTTTGGGGGGTTGTTCAAGCTAGCATGTAACCAAATTTTGTTTACAATGATTTCAGCGAAATTATGTTATTTTTAAATATTGTAGCATTTCACTGCCAGGGTTGTGTGTTCGAGACGTGGAATATTTAAAGATTTTTAAAATATTTTTTGAAAATGGAAATAAAAATGAAACATGCGGCGGACTTTTTGATGATGAGGGAGCTGCCTGAGAACCAGACTTTTTTTCTTTTTTAGCCTAATCGTAATATTATTTGTTGTGGTAATCTGTCAGCTTCTTCTAACCTTGATGGACTGCTACTATTGTTGTTACTGTTGAATATTTTAATAGTTTATGTGTGACAATCCCAGGTGTTCATGATGGAATCAGGACTGCAGATATGTGTGGACTCTCCTCAGGGAGTTGAGCACAACAACTTGCCTTGTGAGACTATTGTATTTTTTTCAGACCATTTAAAAACTGTTTGGAAGGACATTGCAGGACATTTCTTAAACATTCCTGAACACTATTCTTTAAATAGAATTTTTACTGTTTGAATCAAATATATTTCTTGAAACAAAATACTGTTTTTTATAGTTTAGGCTGTTTTCTCCAAGTACCAGCTTTCCACAATTTGCGAGGAGTAAGGATGTGGGACGACCAACAGACTTGTATTATTGTGTGATCTCAATCAATCTGGTAGTAAATTTAGTGTCAAATCATATATTGAATTGATACAATATGGCCGTCACAACAGCCATATTGACTTGACTTCAGTTACCTTGCTGAAGCACATTGTTGGCCTCCGTGAATTACCTACATATATTTAACCTCTGACCTATCTTGATTTTTTTCATTTGAATTCTGTCCATTTCCTGTAGATACGAGCAATAATATATCTTGCCCTACGTAAATGTTTTTACATTTTTCCAACTTGGCATGCAATTCACTGATCTCTTAATGTTGTGTATTTCCATAGCTGTAACATATTCTTGCTTCAGTACTAAGGTCAAGGCTGAAAGTCAAGGGTCAGGGTTACAGTTCAAGGTCGCTACTGTTTGCCTTGTCACAAAAGCATTTTCTTCGGTAACG